CCCTTAAGTATGATACAATAACAAAAATCATTTAGAGGTTTTCGAAATAACAAAAATCTATGTTGTTAAGTTTTAAGTATTAAAATAAACAGTAAAATGACAATTTGATAATATTTACTAACTCATAATAGTGTAAATTATAACGGCCAAGAAGGCAAACTTTCATATTCAAATCCTACAAAAAATAGCCACCAACTCAATTGCAAAGACTCCCTAAATATACTCAAATATGATTAGAGAAAGGGAGAATATAAGATGATATATTACTCATTACCAACTACATTATTAAATTAAGGAGGGTCTGAACCCAATTCAGAAAAGTCTTTCTACCCAACCAGTTTAATGGTTCATTAACAATTCATTAATGATAAAAAGATTTAAGTTATTTCGAAAACCTCGGAGGGATTTTTATTATTATATCATACCTCAGAGGATCAATTTCATTAACTCTATTATACAATGTGAAGTATCAAACTCGCTCTTAAGCAAGAGACACACTAAACTAATTAATTGGGGAAATTTGGGGCAAATTGTAAATGGTTACAAATCAAACCAAGTCATCAGAGGTTCCTTTGAGATTTTCCATTGACCAATCTTTTAGCACATATAATTTTTCTTCAATTTTTCAAGTTTTTGAAGGTATGTTTTCTTCCTTAATAATTATAACATCCAGCTTTCCAATTGAAAGTTTCTAGTTTAAGGGCTTAATTCTTTTCTTTCCTTTTATTTTTTTTAATATTGTTTTGATAATTATGTTATGATTAAGTTATAAAATATAAAGGTACTTTTCAGTATCATTACCGGGAAGTATCATAATAACTAAAAAAAACAAGGAGATCATTCTGACATTCCAAAATAATCCAACAATAGCACAGACACCTGTCACCGTGATTGAGACCTTGCTTACAGAATTCTAATTCAAATTTCACCTTCTCTTCTAAATCGACTTAAATTATGTTGATGTCTTGAGACTTTGAATTCTCAATCCTTAGCTCCGTATTTTAAGTTAATTAATTTTTAAGGATAGATTACAAGTCCACTTGCCCACTACTTAATTAACTCAAAATTTTTAATCCACCTTCATTTTCAATCGTCCCTTTCATTCAACTTTCCTTGATAGTGAAAACACATAAAAAATTCATAAAAACAATATGTCTATACGAAAATTTTCAGTCTAATATTGATGAATTTAACAGTGATTAACCATGATCCTGATCTAATTATTATATATCATACGTAGGATTGATTTTTTATAAAAATAATAATAATAACAATAAGAAAACTCGTAAAAAAAATTAAAAAAAAAAAAGAAGTAGAAGAAGAAGTCAAACGCGTACCCAAATGAAATGTGGCAAAACTTCATTAATCTTTATAAATTAAATATGTTGATGGTTGATTATAGAATATGATGACGGCGATACTAGAAGACGGTAACTTGAAAACAATGTTTGATATAACAAAGGATGGTTCTTGGAAGGGAAGCCAGGGTTTGATCTATGATTAAACATTGTGGTTAAGTACTCGTTCAAAGGGTCAAATATTCCTCCACTACGTCTAGAGTCTCACTGCTTAATGCTGACTGCGGAGCCTAGTTTCAGATTCTTGCTTTTCAATTACTTGATTCATTGATTCAGACTTTGAAAAATTATTATCTATTAAAAGAAGTTGAAATTAAATTAGAAGATGAAAAGTAAAATTTTTGACTGGGGGAGAGGAGATACTCTTTTAATTGTAGCTAAGTTAGGTCTCAAGAATATTCTTCAAAATGATAGTTTGATTTGGTCAAGGTAAACGATTATGATTTATCAATGAGACAAAATTATATCTCTAAGTATTCAAAATCAGACATGACCCACTCCTATGAATAAGGAGTTAATGACAAATCATAGCTTTGAGTTTCAGACAATTTTTAAAGAGTTTTGCTATAATTCCTTATCATCTCATCCCACCTTTACTTTACACACCTGGCATTATTCATTGAAATTACTTGTGATTGCAATTGATCAGTTACCCATATACAATATGTCTACAATTACAAGGCCAAGTGGGTATGGGTAAAATGGATAGGAGTTCTAAACGGATAATAAAATATACAACAAAGCTACGGACACCGATAAATCTGTACTGAAAATATGTATCGGCCTATGTGTAACTCGCCTCTGAATTTTTTTATAATTTTTTTCTAGTGAACGGCCGTCCATCAAATTTGGACGGTCATTCACTCACATGGACGCCCGTCCATATTATATGGACGGGCGTCCATATACAAGGGACGGGCGTCCCCATTTAAAGGACGCCTGTCCCTCATTAAAATACAATAAAAAAAAATTTATAAACATTAGGGACGGCCGTTCATCCGTTATGGACGGTCGTCCCTTTGTTTTGGACGGGCGTCCGCAAATAAGGGACGCCCGTCCTTAACCAAAATATAAAAAAAAATAAAAATAAAAACTTTGGGACGGCTGTCCCTTGCGTTTGGACTGGCGTCCATTAGGAATGGACGCCAGTCCCTTAAGTTTGGACGGGCGTCCATTTCCATATTTTTTTTTAAAAAAAAAAAAACATTTTAAATGAAACAAGGAGTGGCTGCTGCTCGTTCTTTCTTGAAGATGAAGACGCAGCAGTGGCTACTGTAACGGCTGCTATGGACAATCCTCAGTTTTCTTAAATGATAATTTGAAATTAATGGAATAAGGGTGCAATCTAACTCTAGCACCACTTGCAGTCTCAACAAATCGTTTTCCATTTTTATGAGGTGGACGCAACCTTGCCACCATTGGATACAAACCAGCCACAAGGACTGCATGTAGTATGCCTGGCACATGTGCATTCTGGCTATAGCTTGAGACATCTTCTGGAATAAACCCATTCCTAACTAATTATGTCTGAAGCTGCTTACGCATACCAAGCAGCATATTCATGATGCTTGAAGAGACGAAATACTGAGAACAAAACCGTGCTTCTTGACCTGCTAGCTGATCACTCTGCCCACCATACAATGAAGCAAGCTCAAATTTAGCAGCAGTTGCTCTCTTATTTTCATTTGGTAACGTAGGAAGGGTAAACGGATCCCTATAGTCAAAAGCACATGCAAGTGTCAAAGTTGGGTCTAGACAGTTCATCATTATGGCAAAGAAAAGCATCTTGCTCATTAATGGATGAACGGAAAGAAAGCAAAGTTGGGTCCTGTTCGGGGCTGAGAGCAAAATGAAAATGGCGGAGAAGCTATGCAAAGTTGGTATCGTATCTGTGGGGGACAACAAGGTTAGCTGTCGGAGATGGTGGCCAGAGTGCAATACGCTTCCGTTGGGCTGGGATGAGGGTTGTCTTCTAGCTCGAGTTCACCACGGGGGGAGGAAGTGCACAGTTTGCAGTTTGCAATCCTATTATAGTTCGCGTGCCTTTAAGCCTTAAGAAGACGAAGTTGGTTTAGAAGATGACTGCAAGTGGTTTAGAAGATGAAGAAAAAGAGCGAAGAAGAAGAGGTTTAGATTTTTTTTTTTTTTTTTCTTTAAGTATGGACGGGCGTCCATTCGTAATGGACGCCCGTCCAAACTTAAGGGACCGGCATCCATTCCTAATGGATGCCAGTCCAAACGCAAGGGACGGCCGTCCAAAATTTATGGACTGCCGTCCCAAAGTTTTTATTTTTATTTTTTTTATATTTTGGTTAAGGACGGGCATCCCTTATTTGTGGACGCCCGTCCAAAACAAAGGGACGACCGTCCATAATGGATGAACGGCTGTCCCTAATGTTTATAAATTTTTTTTTATTGTATTTTAATGAGGGACGGGCGTCCTTTAAATGGGGACGCCCGTCCCTTGTATATGGATGCCTGTCCATATAATATGGACGGGCGTCCATGTGAGTGAACGGCCGTCCAAATTTGATGGACGGCCGTTCACTAGAAAAAAATTATAAAAAAATTCAGAGACATATTACACGTAGACCGATACACATTTTCGGTGCAGATTTATCGGTGTCCGCAGCTTTGTTGTAAAATATAAAACCCATACCCAACCTTTGCGGGTCACCTATTTTTTTAACATATTCTTCGATATAAAACTCAAATCAAAGTTATGTAATATAAACGACTGATCAACTTAAAAAATCAGTATCAAATAAAAAATCAAATGGAAAAGTAAAACTTCTACAAGAGACACAATTATGTTACCAAATAACACCATAATAGCGAATATATTATCAGATTACTTCAAGGAAAGATCATTAGTCAATGATGGTTTAGTGGATTCTCTTGATTTCGTAATCCCTAGATTGTTTAATGGCAAGAGAAGGTGAGAGTCAACCATTTCATCATTTGCAATATAATAAAACATTTGAAATGTTATATTAACATGTTGCCATTAATTTCATATCTGCATAGCCAAGTTCAAGTGAATATCAAAGATTCTGCATTATTTTTAGTAGAATTAGTCAATTAGAAACCCTAATTCCTTTTTTTTTTTTGGGTTAAAAAAAAAAAACTGGTGGACCGGGTACAGATACTTGTCCCATGGGTCCTATATATATTAAATCGTACCCGCTTAAAATACGTGGGCATGGGTGGACCCATAAGTACAGTACCCATTTTGTCAAGTCTAACAATTACATATATTATTTAGATCTAAATTTGATATTTAATTTTGTATGCATATATAGTATTACTGTAACATTAATTAACTCACATAATTCACATATTTATATGAAAAAAATTATAAAATCTTTGAACTTTGTGCTTGTTTCTTTGCTGGAAATTTCCTATAGTTTGACAATAGGAGCATGAAATTTTCCTGCAATCAAAGTTTAGTCAGCAAGGAATTGGCAATTCAAATTAGAAAATTCTTGCTCACTATATTGGAAGGCAGAGTCCTTCCAATATAGTACTCTACCTTCTTCTAGGCTTCATAAGTATTCCTACTTTTCAAATTAAATAGTATCTCAATCCTCACTATATATATACAAACAAGTTAAGCTATCAATTGTCTAATCTATACTCTTAGTATCAAAGCCTCAAAGATGAGACGGAGACCAACCAATCTTGTTTCTCTCTCTTTTTTTCTTTCTCTAGTATTTACTTTCATCCTCTTCACACACACGGCCATATCACAAAACACAACAATCCCAGTTAACGTGGGTGTGATTCTTAACGAAAATGGAGAATTTGAGAAGATGAGTTTGAGCTGCATCAACATGGCGCTTTCAGACTTTTATGCCACCAATTCTCACTACAAAACCAGGCTGATTCTCAACACCAGACACTCCAAGAGCGATGCTATTGGTGCAGCTGCTGCTGGTACATAAACTACACCTCCCTCTCTATTCTTTCGGTGGTTGTTTTTTTAGCCATTTTTGTTATAGCTGCAGACTAATTTACTAATCCTGATCATCATTTGATAAGTATAGGGGTTTCTTTATCGTCTTTTTTTCTTTTTTAAGGTAGCGAATTAAACCCAAAAAAAAAAAAAAAAAGTCCATGACTCCATGTATTGCCTCTTAACATCTTTAGTTTACACCATTCGAACAAACACTGTGAGCCTTTTGGAGACCAAACCGTGTAGTCTAACTTGTGAAGTCTTTGTTCAGAGAATAATAATTGTATATTTTGTAGAAATATAACCAATTAAAAAAATGAAGGCCACATGATACTGATTAAACAAGTTAAGATATATAGTTGACCATTGAAATAAATAACAGAATAAGAAAAGTCTTAACATATTATCAAATGTTGATCCTCGAGGGTCTTCAATGTCGGCTCGGGACTAACATGTGAGAAAATCATAAGCAGGGACAAATAAATATTAATTTGTACTGCCAATAAATATTACTTCGTCTCAAAACTCTAAAGAGTTTAGCCTCTGTAGAGGAAGAAAATTAAGCTCAGTTTTTACAATAAAAGTCTGAACTTTGGATGCAAATGATTTGATAATATCTTAATAAGTGATTTAATTAATTAAATCATTTGTTTATTTGTATGCGTGATATTAATTAAAGTATGACAGGATTTTGGGTTGAATAACCAAAGCCCAATTTAAATAATGTTGTAATTGATGAGGAAAAGGGCGATATCAATCATTGCATATCCTTTGGGTTTGAATGCTTGCACAATCTGGGCTTTCTCTGTTTTAGGGAAAGTTGTTTTTGGTGAGAAGATAATGAACCAAAAAATTTTATTTTTTGTAAAGTATTGAAAAAATTTTCAAAAACCCAGTTATTCCGGTTCACACCTACCCAGAATTCAAATATTAAAGGGATAAACTGGATTTATATCTCATATATAGTTGATGACATTTTTGTAATTTTTTATTTAAAGAGTGAGTGTATAAGTAATTGGCTCGGTTGATATGACATAAAATAATAATAAAAGTTATTTTCGTCTTTACTGTAATTGTATCATATCAGTTAACTGATTTTATTAACGGATTTTAATAGTGGGTGGAAAGTGTTGTTTTGAAATTTTTCGAGTTTGGGTGGAAAGTCGTTAGGCTAAACCTTGGGTGAGAAATTGTCGTTAACTCTTAATCTTAATACTTTAAAAAAAAAAAAAAAAATCTGATAAATTTTAAGGCTGCAAAGATTTATTATTATTCTTAAGTCTATATATTTTTATTATTATTATTATTATTTTATTAAGACAGAACTTGCAAAAACTTTTAAAAGCTTTCAAAGAGTAATATATTCTTATAAACCAACAGGAATTTCTACAACGTGGGCTTAATTTAGTTTCAATATAAAATCCAATTTCCTTTAATACTTTGGTATGGTGTCTTAGGTCGTGAAAAAATGTTTAGAGGAAATATAAACTTAGAATATGGGGTTCTTCCGGCCAAGAGTGAGATGAAAGAGTTATTCATTTGTTTATTTTATTATATTTTCTTTGTTGCATGACATATTTTGAAACAAAGATTAATCTTCAATACATTTATTGAAACATTTCTTCTTTATTCAAGACTGTCTTCTCGTTTCTCAAAATTATTTCATCTTTAATAAAGTGAGATGTAAAAAATGTTTATGGATAAAGATAACTTAAACTAATAATTTAGAAATTTAATTGAAGGAGAGTATCTTTTTGCTTATTTTACAGCTCTAGACTTGATAAAGAATGTGAAAGTGCAAGCCATAATAGGACCAGAGACTTCCACACAAACCGACTTTGTTATTGATCTTGGAAACAAATCTCAAGTGCCCATTCTCTCATTTTCTGCATCAAGCCCTTCTCTTACTTCTCTTAGAAGTCCATATTTCTTCCGGGCTACGCAAAATGACTCCTCTCAGGTTGGTGCCATCACGTCAATTATTCAAGCCTTTGGTTGGAGAGAAGTTGTGCCCATTTACGTGGACAATGAGTTTGGTGAAGGAGTCATACCTTATTTAACCGATGCATTGCAAGCTATTGACACACGCGTCCCTTACAGAAGTGTCATTTCTCCTATCGCTACTGATGACCAAATTGTTGAAGAGCTTTACAAGTTAATGACTATGCAAACTAGAGTGTTCATTGTGCACATGTTGCCTTCTCTTGGCTCTAGGCTTTTTACTAAAGCAAAACAAGTTGGAATGATGAATCAAGGGTACGTTTGGATTATCACTGATGGATTAACTAATTTGTTTACTTCATTGGAGCCTTCAGTGATTGAATCAATGCAAGGAGTGCTAGGTGTAAGGCCTTATGTTCCGAAAACAAAAGCGCTTGAAGGTTTTCGACTTCGATGGAAGAGAAAATTCCAACAGGAAAATCCAAGCCTTGCTGATACTGAACTGAACATTTTTGGATTGTTGGCTTATGATGCTACAATGGCACTAGCTATGGCAGTTGAGAACGCTGGTACTACAAACTTGAGCTTTGACATGACAAATGTTTCCACCAACGCAACAGACCTTGAAGCTTTTGGTGTCTCCAAAAATGGTCCTAAACTTCTTGAATCATTATCAGTAACTAGATTCAGAGGCCTTACTGGAGATTACACGTTTGTTGATGGACAGTTGCAGTCGTTAGCTTTTCAGATACTCAATGTCAATGGTGATGGAGAAACAGGGATTGGATTTTGGACTCCAGAGAAAGGACTAATGAAGAAATTGAATTTAACAAGTACAGATTCTACTTCAAAATCCCATCTTAGATCTATTATATGGCCGGGGGACTCTACATCTGTTCCAAAGGGTTGGGAAATTCCAACTAATGAGAAGATATTGCGCATAGGAGTGCCAATGAAGAATGGTTTTAGTGACTTTGTAAAAGTCATAACAGATCCTACTACTAACAAAACAGATGCCACTGGTTATTGCATTGATGTCTTTAATGCTGTAATGCATGCATTGCCATATGCTATCAATTATGAGTTCATTCCCTTTGAATTGTCTGATGGCATTGGCTCTGGTTCATATAACGATATGATTTATCAAGTCAAGCTTGGGGTAAAAGTTCTCATCCTTCCTAGTATTGTAGTTTTTATTTGTAATAGACTTTACATAACAACACAAAGAATATTTATGAGCTCATAGAATTTTTGCAAGCATTAGGAGTGAGTAGACTTGATATGATGTCTTATTTGATCTCCTTTTCTTGTACCTATGAACAGAAATTTGATGCTGTGGTGGGAGATACTACAATTGTGGCCAACAGATCACAATTTGTGGACTTCACCTTACCATATACCGAATCTGGAGTATCAATGATGGTTCCGATCACAGACAACAACAAAAATGCATGGGTGTTCCTAAAGCCCCTGACATGGGACCTTTGGATGACAAGTGCTTGTTTTTTCCTTTTCATTGGACTTGTCATCTGGGTTCTTGAGCACAGAATCAATGAAGATTTTCGCGGTCCGCCTGAGCATCAAGTTGGAACAAGTTTCTGGTTCTCCTTCTCGACAATGGTTTTTTCACACCGTAATTTCTTTCACCATTTATAACTTATACTTCAACTTATCCTTTTTTAGCAACAATGCAAGGCTTTACATTGATGTTATTATTTAACTAACTTGAATTGTGTTTGCAGGGGAGAGAGTGATAAGCAATTTGGGTCGGTTTGTGGTGATTGTATGGTGTTTTGTAGTCCTCATACTCACCCAAAGCTACACAGCGAGCCTGACATCACTCCTTACAGTCCAAAGGCTCCAGCCTACTGTTAGTGATGTAACAGAATTGATAAAGAGAGGGGAAAATGTTGGGTTTCAGCAGGGTTCTTTTGTTGCAGGAATCTTGAAAGATTTAGGCTTTAGCGAAAAAAAACTATTGGTTTATGATTCAGTGGAAGAATGGGACGCCCTTTTTCAAAAGGGAACTACAAACGGCGGTATAGCAGCTGCTTTTGATGAAGTCGCATACCTTAAGCTGTTTATGGGAAGACATTGCTCCAAGTATACCATGGTTGAACCAACATTTAAGACATCTGGTTTTGGCTTTGTAAGTTCTCTGAACTCTATTAGTTTCTTGAATTTCTCACCTCCTCTATTGTGCTTAGTGTCTAATGGAGTTTTCTGTTCATTTGGTGAGCTGCAGGCCTTCCCACTTGGTTCACCACTAGTACATGATGTTTCAAGGGCGATCTTAATTGTGACCGAGGGACCAAAAATGAACGAAATTGAAGATGCATGGTTCAAGGAAAGCAGCTGCCCTGACCCGAGCTCCTCAGTTTCTTCACATAGCCTTGGCCTTAATAGTTTCTGGGGGTTGTTTCTCATTGCTGGCGTCACTTCAATCTTGGCTCTCATCATTTTCATGGCCATTTTTGTTTATGAACATAGGGAAGTCTTGAAAGAATCGGATCCCAAATCATCGTTATGGACAAGGATTCGTACTTTGTTAGGAATCTTTGTTTCCAGGGACCTCAATTCACATACTTTCAAAGAAAAAATTAGCATCCAAGTCCACAGTTTGGGAGCAGCTACACCTTCTCCTTGCAATCACTACCCACCAAGTCCCTCAAGCTATTCACCTTCAACTGAGTACGGCGATCCAAATCCTAATCCAAGTGGTCAAGCACCTGAAGATATTGTACCTGCTGTAGAGCTCATTGACCCAAATCAAGAAAGAGCTTGAACTCCCTAAGTAGTTCATGAAGATATATTACGTAGATATATATTCTCCATGGCTCATATGACAGTAGCATGGTTACAGATAATTGTACATTGATAGTGAAGTAACTAGTATATAATGTAAACGAAAGCTTAATGAAGCTCCTGCGTTTCATATAACTTTTCTCCAGTTGTTTAAGTTTAAGCTCTAGTCTACTAGAACTATAATAGTTTTGTTGAAGAAAATGACAAGACTGCTGGTCTCATGGTACTATTTGTCACCATATTGTTTTCTCATTATCTTTTTCTTTAGTTCATCTGATGTTTCTGATCATTGAGTTTTCTGTTTATTTTCTTGTAAAAAGTAGCAATTAGCATTCCTTTCTAGTTTCTACATTGGCTTTCCAATAAAGTTGTACATTCCAGAGCGTTTGAAGGGACACACACATCATTCGGAAAACAGTTGCGTTTCTGAATTAGATTTTCAATAATAACCAACAGATCTTAATAATGTCATAATTTGTTTTGGCCTCATTTGCTCGAATTAATTTACTTTTACTTCCCATGTTCTTGTATGGTGAGATTAGAAGTCAGAACTTTGCATCAGAAGAACAATCCCATTAGCTTCTTCGATAATTTCACAGTTTCATCAGTAACAATGTCTATGATATCCAACTACCTCTAATTCATGCATTATCTTGCCACACTTCTCTCCATTGTTTCCAAGTCTTAACTACTAACTAGAACCCAGTGATAGTATTAAAAAGTTCTTGGGAGAGCCAGGAAAGAATAATATAGAGCTTACTATTTACAGAGACACACTAATGGCTGAGAAGAACATGATACACTGATTACAAAACTTTCCTATCATTTTTTGTACACAAGCATAAATTTACAAGACGTATCATGGAAAATACTGTTCAAGACACTCTTTTAGTTTTTGAAAAGTGACAGGCTTAGAAACAAATGAGTCCATACCATTTTCATATCACTCTTCCGCACTCTCTGACAATGTGTTTGCCGTCATCTGCATTTGTATCAATTTTTTCATTAGTTTATATGATAAATAGGTGAATATACAATGATCACTCGTAAAATTATTTTTAATTGTTATAAATAAATAAATACTGCTCTCTGGATCATAAATTCATAATTTTATCCAAACTAGAAGCATCATGCTAGAATCAAATTGTTCGGATCAGCTACTATTTCTCTTTTGTTTAGAAAAATGCAGAGTCCGAAATATCTTAAAATGTTTTTGGCATGATTCAGTCACTACACGGACCAACTTATACAGTTGAGATTTATCATGATAATAAATATGCTACACATATAGAGTACTATAGCCAGAAGAAAAACTTCAAAATTATCAGAAGTAAAAGTGCAGAAATTTGAGGGTCATAAAGAGCCTGAATACTCACTGCAATTATTGGAATGTGCTGTGTGGAAGAACCTTGTAATAAATCTGGAGCTTTCTCGATTCCAGCCTTTGATGCAGCGTCCCAATTTCCAGTGTCTTCATACGAGCGAATTATTCTTGTAGCTTGAAGGCCATCCATAACTGGCATGCAAACATCCTACAAAACTTGTATGGCAAATGGTTACAGAAGTTGCAAGCTTATGTAACTGAATAGCGAGTCAATAGAAAGCAAATGCCAGCAAAACAAAAATATTAATTTTCTAGAAATTACCATCAAAACGAGATCATAATCACGGCATTGAACTGCCCGCACAGCTTCAACTCCATTATTCACAACATCTATGCTATGGCCTAACTGTTTCATCATTGATTGGGTGACCATCACATTAATCTTGTTATCTTCTACAAGAAGAATCTTTGGTCTTGGTTTTGTTTTGAGCACTTCTGGACCACTGGTAGATGTACACTGGGAATTTGTGTCAGATTTATCCTGCCTTTGACATGATTGTTGGGGTTCACTGCTCTTTGCCACTGAAACTGTTTCCTCATTAGCCTTTGAGTGACTAAGGGACTCCGTCGTAGGGTTTTGTAACCGATTATTCGTGTCAATGTGACACTGTTTACCTCTAGAAACTTCATTTTCATTATCAGTTTCAGAGCTGTGACTAAATGAACTTTCAGGTTCTGGTAATGTCTCTGCAACTTCTGCCACTGAACAGGCATCCTCAGGTGAAGTAGTCTCTTTTGGTCTAACATTATTGGGGGGAAGTAAGTACGCATCCTCTGAGAACCCATTGAGTTTAGCACTACTAAAACCCATATTATTCGGTAAAAATTTTTGGGGCCTGCTTGATCCATTAGAAGAGAATAGTGAACCTAAAGTGCGTGGTTTGAATTGGAAAAAGCCAGCTGTCAAGTCATCACTTGCAGCGTCATGATTAGCCATATCTGAGAGCTCATCAGGATCATCAGAATTATCACTAATTGGTGAAACGCTGTAAGGGAGTATAAATGTAAATGTGGAACCACAATGCACTTTGCTAGTCACAGTGAGACGACCCCCCATCAGTTCAACCTAATTCAAATGCACAGAAAAGTTAAGAGAGTAATATTTGATTGATGTCAGTAAACAGGTTCCAGTCTAGAGTTACATCATTTGTCATGGCAAGAATACTTTACCAGCTGTTTGCATATTGCAAGGCCAAGTCCTGTTCCACCATACTTTCGAGCATGACCCGCACTAACTTGCATGTACTTTTTAAATAGAATTGGTAAAGCATTTTCTGTTATATGACAATGAAATCAATTAATCTCTCTCTAAGGCTCAGCTAAAGTGAATTTTTTTAATGAATACTTGGAGCATAAACATACCTGGTATTCCGATTCCAGTATCATATACATCACATCTAATCCAAACTGTTGTTTCCTGCTCCTCTAAATCTCCATCCACTGAGTTTCCATTGTTAACAGGAGTTCTTGGTTCATCAACCGATGAATGGTCTTGGAAAGAATCTTCACTACGTTTTCTATCGTGAAATCCCTTTTGTTCATTGCCGTTTTGAGACGTTGATTGATTTTTCTCTTCCTTTGTTGAAGTTGTGGTTGACTGATACGCTTTTGATTTCTGATATGACCCTTCTTTGGCAAAAGGTGGCTCAGGCACCACATAAAGCTTTATTCCCACCTTCCCTTCAGGAGTAAATTTGATTGCATTGCTGCAAGGAATAAAAAGCTTTGAATACGAGAAAAAACCAAAATATCAATGATTTTAAGTTTTTGAGGAACAACCAGAGTCATGAGCCCTACATAAACATTTTACCTGATCAAGTTGGTAAGGATTTGTCTAATTCGTAAAACATCTCCAATGACCTGACATTGAAGCATAAGTTTTTAATATAACTTGCAGAACTAAATAAAACACAGAATCTTATTATTTTACATTGATGAAGTCATAAATGTGATAATGATTAACAGTTTCCTAATGGACACTCAACAGCTCAGTGCCTAGTCTTCTCTGTACCTTGTCCAGGATAAGGGCAAGTCATTTTAAAAAGAAACCTGGAAATCATGTAACTGAAGGTCCATCAAAGTTTTCATAGATTTTTTATATTGTTACTAAAATCTCACCTCAATAGGAACATCATCTGCTATGTGTCCTTCCAAAGTAAGAATTTTTTGTAAAGATGCAGCAGCAGTCTGAAGTACATGCTTTACTACTTCCCTTGGCCGGAATTTTGTAGCTTCCAACTTCATAACACCTAAAGAAACAAAAATGAATTTCAGAATTTCATGACAGCATTAAAAATGAAACATTTCTGTATATTTCTATTTTAAACCTTAGAACCATAACAGGTCCAATCATCACTAAAGCTATTTAAGAAGACTGGAGCCAGGGTACAATCATAAAGAACTCAAATTTTAACAAGGTCAACATGCACTAGAAAACATAATTATTAGATAAATAGATGAATTACAAACCTGATTCAACTTTGGAAAGGTCAAGAATGTCATTTATAAGTTGAAGCACCAAATCTCCAGAAGACATCATGACACTTAATAGGTTCCGCTGTTCATGATCAAGATTTGTATGGGAAAGAATCTCAGCCATGCTAACGACACCAGCCAAAGGAGATCTAATCTCATGAGACATGGTTGCTAGCATTTGCTTTGCTCGCATTGTCTCCTCTGCAAAAATGTGAACAAATAGTCAAATTTGCTGCTCTAGAAGCCTAGTTATGTGATTACTCATCCACTCAGGTTCCCACAAGGTAGACAGACCTGTTATATGGATTGTTTTGTTCAGTTCTGTCTCCTTCGCCTTTTGTACTGCTATTTCCTCTCGTAGCTTTGCCATCTTTTCTCTTTTTCTTACCTGTTGGTGAAATCAAGAATATAAGAACACATAATTCCCTTTTAAAGACAATAAAAGACCTGTAATGAACATTCAGAAGAAATGAATTTACCTGATCAGTTACATCCATTCCCATATAATTGACACCAATCGTCTCCCCTGCCTTGCTAAAGACAGGTTCAACATAGATCAAAAACGTTTTTGATCCAAATAATTCTGTCTCAAATGTAATTTCCCTCTTTGCAGGCAATCCTTTTTCTAGAACTTCTCTCTTGAAATCCTGAGATTCCTTGACACCAGCTCCAGTAAAAATTTCAACATCTGTTTTCCCCAAAATGTCCTGTAAATTCAATGAGAAAATATGATGTTGTGATGTTCCAGTGGCGCTAACAATATGAAAAGCGACAAAAAAGAACTAGCTACAAAAGGAAAAAAAGAAACCTACATTCTTGGGTTTCAAAGCCTAACGCTTAATAAAACATATAGCTTGTTACAAAATGAAACTTTAAGTGATTACATCAGTTGCCATATATTACCTCCTCATGCAAACTTGGAAAATGATTATAGATAAAGCGGTACCTTAGCTCTTTATCCTGAAAGAAAAGGTTAAATAAAGATCAGTCCCTCAACTGAAAGACCAGTTAGATGACAGTAAAAGGAAAAACATGGTACTATAGTGGACAAGATTAATAAACCCAAGGTAATCCTTTATTATATTTGTGTAAAGAATTCATCTAGAAAATCTAATGCATCCTTAAAAATCTAACTGCAAGGTAAGAAAAAAAAAAATGAAGAAGCGGTTTGTGACTGTGGAAGCCACTATTTTGTCCATGATAAAACTTAAAACAATGCAGAACAACTATAAAATATAGGATCTGAGAAGCTAAAACCATTTAATAAGATCTCATCCCATTATGAAGCTTGAGTTTACTAGTATTAGTTTACATCATCCAAGCTACACGTAAAAGCAATATGACAAATTGTGGAGCTTGTAACAAAACTCACTTTCACAATATGCTCCTAGATAAGCTGTTAGTTATAAGTGTGACGCACTTTGGATTACCACTACAGTAGTTAAGTCCAACTTCATGAAACTAATCAACAAGTTTGTCAATGCAAAATCCCCATACAACAAGCGAAGGCATATTTTTGCAAGGCAACTTTCATCAGGTATACATTATCAGTTTCATAGTTACCTGATGGCCCATAACAATAGGAGCATTTTGAAGTACAAAATGTAAGAAATTATCTGCTCTTTTTAGAATCTGAGACAATTCTTCCACTGGAGAGGATTGTTTTTCCAGATTTGTTATGCTGTCCTGCAACTTCTCCATAAGCGCCTGCTCCCGCTGGACGCTTGCCTCCAACATCTTTTCTAAATTCAAGGCCCGTTGCTTCCAGTACACAACTGTATCATATTCTGCATCTATTTCAACTCTGTTACTTTGAACAACAACATAATTTTCCCTCCGAGGAACATCTTTCCATATGTCATAAACCTCCTCCATGATAGAAATTGGACGTTTATCACACCCATATTGTTCTTCAAAGCGATGCTCCTCCAATATCTCCAATTTCTTGAGCTCAACTTCTTGCCTTTGTCGGCTCAGGTTGGCAAGCTCCTCCCTAAGAAGTCGAACTGCATTTTCTTGTTTATATTCCCAGTGTTTTACAAGGTATGCCAACTGAGAAGAGCCCTTGTCAGTATAATTTGTCAGCTCCAGTAGGCGCTTGAAATCAACTATAGTTGGATCCTCTGTGATCGTAACCTCTTCCAACATATCTTGATCTCCTCCCGGCCTTTCTACATTGAATTGCTTCCCAACATCACTTCCAACATCTTCTGGCCACATTGAAGGGAGGACTTCAACCTCCAGCTCCATGTCTTCAAGTTGATCGGTCTCCATTTCGCAAATCATTTAAAATCAGTCACATCCAAATTATATGTCTACAAAATCCATAAACTTCAAAATCCCGCTAAGCCATGTTTCCCACTGTTCAACGTACTTGAGAACCAAGACAGAATTAAAATTCCAGATCAAGTCAGGACCTGCAACATAAAAATGTAAAAAAATAAAAAAATAAAAAGATGAAGGAAAATTATATCTAAAGGTACAAAGCTTGAAAATCCGAGAATATGAGCAGCACTTGACGTATGGAAATTATCCCCAGAACAGGCCAGAGGCAAATAAGCCACAATCAGAAGCTTACAAATTTATTGGTATGGGACACCCAGAAGTAGAAAAATTATGAAAAGGAAAAACATGAGCAAGTAATCATATAAAGCCTCCTGGCTCTATCAAAACATTCTTAGTAGACTTAGTACTTCACATCCAAATATATATGAGCAATCAAAAGAGAATACTGAGAAAAAGACAACAATGACTAGTAAAAGTAATGGAGGAAACCAATGACATACAAAACATCTCTACAGTCAACTCCATTTTGGTTAATTGATTGACAACTTAGGCTTAGTTGATTGACAACTTAGGCTTAGTTGGCCACTCTATTCACACAGTTGCATTAACCCAATTCAAAATTTCCTTAACAAAAAGAAACTGTTGAATTATATCACATTATGAAGAAAATAAAAAGAAATTAAATGAGAATGAGATGAATACAAGTCAAAAACGAGAAAGTCAAACTGATCAACGAACGGAATTGAAGCGCGGAATTGCTGAACGAATGAATCCAAAACCAACCTTTGTGATGAAAGCAGAGAAAAGAAGAGAGAGTGAAGAAGAGGAAACAAAGTTGATAAGTGGCAGAGGCTATTACTGTAGATCTGAGGAATCTGTTTCAACTGATGAGTCAATGGGGCTTCAATGGCAATGAAGAAAATTTAACCAACTAATGAAAGAGAAAGAAAGNTAAAATCAGTCACATCCAAATTATATGTCTACAAAATCCATAAACTTCAAAATCCCGCTAAGCCATGCTTCCCACTGTTCAACGTACTTGAGAACCAAGACAGAATTAAAATTCCAGATCAAGTCAGGACCTGCAACATAAAAATGTAAAAAAATAAAAAAATAAAAAGATGAAGGAAAATTATATCTAAAGGTACAAAGCTTGAAAATCCGAGAATATGAGCAGCACTTGAACGTATGGAAATTATCCCCAGAACAGGCCAGAGGCAAATAAGCCACAATCAGAAGCTTACAAATTTATTGGTATGGGACACCCAGAAGTAGAAAAATTATGAAAAGGAAAAACATGAGCAAGTAATCATATAAAGCCTCCTGGCTCTATCAAAACATTCTTAGTAGACTTAGTACTTCACATCCAAATATATATGAGCAATCAAAAGAGAATACTGAGAAAAAGACAACAATGACTAGTAAAAGTAATGGAGGAAACCAATGACATACAAAACATCTCTACAGTCAACTCCATTTTGGTTAATTGATTGACAACTTAGGCTTAGTTGATTGACAACTTAGGCTTAGTTGGCCACTCTATTCACACAGTTGCATTAACCCAATTCAAAATTTCCTTAACAAAAAGAAACTGTTGAATTATATCACATTATGAAGAAAATAAAAAGAAATTAAATGAGAATGAGATGAATACAAGTCAAAAACGAGAAAGTCAAACTGATCAACGAATGGAATTGAAGCGCGGAATTGCTGAACGAATGAATCCAAAACCAACCTTTGTGATGAAAGCAGAGTAAAGAAGAGAGAGTGAAGAAGAGGAAACAAAGTTGATAAGTGGCAGAGGCTATTACTGTAGATCTGAGGAATCTGTTTCAACTGATGAGTCAATGGGGCTTCAATGGCAATGAAGAAAATTTAACCAACTAATGAAAGAGAAAGAAAGAAAGAAAGAGAAATAGAGAGGAGAGCATGTGATGTAAAAGAAAAACAAAATTGTGGAGAGAAGAGAAGCTCAAGAAGCCATGTGCATTTGGAGGTCAAAAATATTAGAGAATTCTTGGCCCTTTTCTTTCGTTTTTGTAACAATTATTTTATTTCCTAATAAGGGTTTTGTTTTTGAGGTTACATTCAGAGTTTCTTCTGCAAAAGTTTCAGGCTTTTACATTTTAACCATCTGCTTTGCTTATGTTTCTTGTTTTTTCAGTGTTCCTTCCTTCACAAATGAAAATTTTTCACCATTAGTTTCTCTCTCTTTTTAAATGTCAATGAACTTCTTCTTGTTTCCCGCCTTTTACTATTCCTAGGTTACGTGTTGGGACGGCGCGTTTGTTTGACGCGCAAGTTTTGGGACAAATAAATTAAATTAAATGCCAGAACTTTAAAGTTTTCTATCTACTTCACTTGAGGTAAGATGGGAGAAAGAGGATGAAGATTCTTATTTATAACATAAGATTTAAACATTGATTAGTTTAATTAAACTAATGGTTAATTAAGATTAAATTTTGTCTAAGATCCAATTATAATGCCCCTTGGGGTTAGAGCTCAAATTGGACCACCATTATATCAAACTTATGTCTCTTATTTTTCGCTCAATTTCAATTTCAACAGAGACAAATAAACTCAGTAATGATCCACGAGATGATTTATTAGATAACTTGGTTACACAAATTATGAAGTTTGAATTATTTTACAAGCATCTAAATGATTAACTACCATTATTTCTCGCTTCTTAAAGATTATAAAATTCTGTGTAATTCCAGTTCAATAGTTATTAATTCTTGCTTCACAAAAATCACAGAATTCAAAGGAACTCCAGTATCAAACTCATGAATTAAGTTGATGATGGTGAGTTGAATAATACTAAATGGTTTTGATTAGTGGGAAATTAAACAATGAAAAGCTTCTTGAATTTGATTAAGCACTTGCTAATCATGTGTTAAAGATTCTATAATGGGGGTTGTTAAGTGGTTTTTCTAGATGGAGGGCTTGAATATTTTAGGAAAAGAAAGAAGAAAAATATAAGAATAAAAAGCATACAATAATAATTTATTAATTAAGCAACCAACTGTTTAAATAAAATTAGTTGGAGAGACATGGTGTGAAATAAATTGGTCTATTAATTATTTAATATAAAAAAAACATTGGTTTATCTTTTATGCTACTTAACAACTAAGCCATATTCCCTTCTCCAATGTCTAGCATTTGGACTTTGTCTACATACCAATTTCTCCATGTGACACCAATCCTTGCTGACTCACCCACTTGCCACGTCATCCCACAGAATGCCACGTGGACATATAGGAGTGTGACACTTGGCGACAAGGCATGGGCATCTGGATGATCATTATAATGTCAACTTATTTTAGCTGCTTTGCCAGATAACATTTGCTCATCAATGGAGGTTCTTTTTAACAGAAAATGATGAACACCATAAGCGCAAGTTGCACATTTTTATTTCTTATTTTTAAACATACGCCAAGTTGATTTACTAGATTAATGAAAATTAAGCTTGGTAGAAAGGGGAAACATTAAAATAATTAAGGGAGATTCATTAAGAGTTAGTAGTAATTTCAGAGGCTGTTATTATTATTTTTTATTTTATGAAACAAACGTGAGAAGTTTGGAGATTAAAAATAATTAATCAGCAGCAGAGTCCATATACTATCACTCATGACTTACTAATATTTATTTATTTTTCATTTTTGCCTTAACACTGCAATTAACACTGCAACACTAGCTTATAAAATAAGAGTCAACGATATGGAAAAAATAAAATAAAAAAACTAAAATAAATTATCATTAAGCATGAGTTGAAATTTGAAAATGAAACGATAATTTTATATTTATATTCATTTAGTAATTATTACTTATTAGCTATAAATAATTGATTATGAATTAGGAAAACAATGTACGTTATAATTAATATGATATTTTAATTTATAATATAACAATTATTATGAAATCAAAGGCCTAACATAGGTAGAGTAAACTCTAAATTGGGCATAATCAATATTGAAAAATGATTAGCTAGTACAATTAATATATATATAATATAATAAGAAATTAATAAATATATATATAAATGAAAGCAGTTTATGACCAACACGACGTGTAAACGTTGAGCGTTGGTACTTTCCATAATATTATGTTTAATATAATAATTGTTTTAATCTTTGTCACTGAAACGTCAACTTTGCACAGATACCTTGAATATAATTAAATTTAAATTAGAACAGATCAGGTACTACACAAAATAATATACACTTAATAATATTAATATATACAAGCAGCTTACTCTTTAAACATATTATAATCACTGATTCCTTAATTAAAACATTAATATGTTATGATTAATTCATTAATTTAATTTCCTTGCTAACTGCACCATAAAGTAAACCCTACTTTACGTGTATAAATTAAGAGGTCGGTTGATCGAACAAACAAATTAAAATTACAAGAAAGTAAATTATTTAATTAATTCATAACAGATGGCAAGTGATTGGACGAGACAGCTTCCATAATACACGGATTAGTTAATTAATTAAATATATTTTTGGGTTAACGTGATACAGATACAGTTCCTTTCACTGAGTTTGTGAAAGATAGGTATTGGTAATTGTTTAATATGGTAATTAAATAATTAAAATAACCTACAGGGACCATTAAGAAAAAGGAATAATAAACTATCACGATCATTACAAACCAAGTGACCATCACCAACCGAGCGACGATTCCTGTTTATATTAATTCATTTTGCCTTGTTCTTTATATAAGCAGCTAGCTGCTGCTTCATGTGCTATTGCTTTCCTCACTATCTAAGTTTAAATGTCCATTGATTGAATGAATACCAATTGCTTTATATATTTTACAAAGTTGCTCAAATATACCATCAATTTTAATTTATTACTTCTCATGTTCCCACAAACCCTTTGTTTGCCACGTTTCTTTTAAATCTTTGCTTTAACATCGATCCCAACACATTTACACATGACTTGTATACTTTCTTTTTTCTCAATTTAACCCACCAATTTTATATATATAGTTAGACATTAATTCTTAGTCATATGCTGGAGGATTTTTCTACAATATACTTCAAATTTTGAATCAGAATTCGTCTTCATAATATGATGCACTTCTTACATTACGGATTATTTATTTTAATCTTATGTGCCCATATGATGAATTATGTTAGAAAACGCCTATTAGATTGCATATTTTGTTTATTCCGATGTATTGTTTGCGTTGGGATGACTCAATTTTCCAGTGTATATATAGTAACATTCACAACTTCAGTTTGAGCAAATTTATTAAACTCTTGATGATTTTTTTTTTTTTTTAATATTCAAGGGTGTCCAAATCAGTTTGTTGAGTACTTCAACTAGTCATCCACGGCTTTGAACTTTTGATGATGTTGGGAGCAAGGGATGCGAAGATGCTATGGTTCATGTATCCTTGTCAATCCAACAACATAAAATGAGTGGAAATCCAAAGGCTCTTGATGATGAAGCATATATATATATATATATATATATATGAGAAAACCCTTAGTTTGAAAATGGTACAAAAATAGGTAAGAAAGAGTTGGATCAACTCTCGTGCAAGCATTGTGAATTGGTAAGGTCGGTCAATTAGACGCCAAAATGCATGTGAACATGCATGGATAGGTGTACTTCTCCTCGATCCCTTGTGGCACATGCCTAGGCTCTATTGCTACGTCCCACTTACGTGGCACAATTTCAACGGGGATGATCGAATCAATCGCTCGTTGGAAGTATTCCGACTAGTGTTTCCAAAACGAAAAATGAAAACTGATTTGGGAATTGGATTGGAGGAAACGGCAAGAGCAGGTTGGTCTGTATTGATGTGGGCCTCCACCTGCTTCTGCCAGAAACACTTTTCTCAGACAGCTCTACTCCATTATGAGTGATGCTATGGGTACTAATGGATGATTACTAATAAGTGTACTAATTAAAGCATAGTATTTGTATTATATGCATAGTATAGATACTATGCTTTAGTTAGTACACATATTAGTACTCATCCATTAGTACCCAAAGTATTATTCCTCCATTATCTCTCAATCATGTACACAACCGGCTCTTGCATGCTGACGCACTATTTTACTTTCTTTTTTTTTTTAATAAATAAACAAATATCTTTAAAGGAAATGGGGCCCAAAAGTCAAAGATGTCTATTTAATTTGGTTGGTCAACGACTGTCCATTAGCTTGCTTAGTGTAAAATTAAGAAAATCATGCTAATTAATTAATTATTTATCACATGCGGGAATTTGTTTGATGTTAATTACATTAATTATGTGACTGCACATGAAAACGTAGATCAAGGGAAATGAAATAACATGATATATCTTCTTTAATTAATTTTATCCTAAGTTTGATGTTAATTTCTTAGGATTAAAGTTGTTTAATTAAATTGCTTTAATATGTGAAATGAATCTAGCGTTGAAAGATACGATATATGTAAAGACAAAAGGGAGAGTAAGAAAGCAAAATCTAAAAGGGATTTGAAGTTATCGTTTGTTTGATTGAACAAGAAAAAACCAAACCACAAACCCAGAATCCCACTAACTCTGGAGGAGAAACCATAAAACCTCAGATTATGGCTTTGACAACTCCAAGACAAACCCAAACCCATCTTTCTTCTATCTTCGTCTTTGTTTCTTGCCCCCATTTACCATTGTCTACCTACTATTAATATTTTAGTCGTGATCTGAGTATACTTATAATTTGTAACATAAATCATTATCAAGTCACTGTCATTTCACAGAAATTCAGTAAATTTGGTGCACAAAATAAGGAGTGGACAACACCACTCCGGGTTTTCTTACCTAGCATTTCTAACCCATTATTATATGATCAAGACAATTAAAGCCAGTAAAATTTGTTTCCTAAAGTTAAATTAACATAAAGTTTTTAGACAAAATTAGCTTAATCATAAACCCACTAATCTCCTTATACATTACATCACCCTATAATTTGGTTAGCCTTTTCTTCTCCTTTTATGATTTATACCCACTTAACCAATATGTCTTTTGTTTGCGGTGGTGAGATCTTCCTTCCACGTGGTCGTTTTACAAAAATTGAACACATAGCATGGTTTAGGCTTTCAAGCAGTAGAAGCAATTATATAATATAATTAATAATTGAAGTGGGCTTTCCATGACGTAAATAAGGTCAAATTTTGGTTCGGTTGCTTGTGTTGTGCCACGCTATCAGCAGCCGCCCTTAATAAATTAATTAAAAATTAAAAATTGATGTTTAACGGTTGTTTATTATCATTGAATTATTGGAAAAGCAATACTACCATTAATTATTTGGTCAATGGGAAGATTGTCGTTTGGGCTGGGCCAGAATATGATTACGTAAAGAAAGCCCAATTCTAGCCCAATCAGGCGAACTAGTAGCAGGCCCAAATCAATAAAATGGGCCCACAGTTTCCGGTTATGGACTTAATGGTTGTTTGGAATGAAAAATCTAGAAATCTTCAGACGAATTTTTTTTATTCTAATAATAGTAATTATTGAGGTCAATTTAACCATCAACATTTCTGGCTCTTTAGTGCAAAAGAAATAATGATGTTACACCAATAATTTATAAAAGTAAGATTAAACCACTACTTAACCTAATATATAACAATAATTATCCAATAATTATGTTTGAATTATTTTCCATTTATCTCTCGGAAAGCAAAATTGTAATTTCATGGAAAAATATTATGAGGCCACCAATAATAGAAAACAATAAATAAATAAAAAAGAGAACTCAACATATCAAGTAGAGAATAATTCCAACCTGAACTGAAAGGATCCCTTGGGTGTGGACCCACGCATGCCCTTAGGAAACCCTTTTTTTATTCAATGTAATTTCTCCATTTTATTTAATTTTTAATATATATATTTATTATATATTTTTTTTAATGATTTTTATGTGAAAAAAAACATGCGAATTAACTTTTTCACACAGAACGTGAGCACATTACACAGTGGCTAAAAAGAAAAGAAAAAAAAAAAAAAGAGGCAAAAGAACAAAATTAAAGTCGTAAAGAAAACGAAGACGAAAAATCTTGAAAGCCAATATTATAATAATACGAGAGTTTCTGATTCAAGAAGAAGGAAGAAGAATTGAGAGAAAAAAAGGGAGAATTTGTGCGTTGTGTAGATGCATGTCGGAGGAATAACAGTGGATCTTAACTGGTTCGTTCAATTCATATTGACTTCATTCTTAATCGCCTTTGGATTACTACACTTGGTTAAGAATACGGCGTCTAAGTACTTCGAGGTCGACGCCAATTTCGAAGGCACCGATCGTAACCGCCACGTAATGTCCTCGATTCCCATCGAAAACGACGATTTCTCTTGTGTCGTCTGCGCCAATCCCGGCACCAAAAAGTGCTCGCGTTGTAAATCTGTTAGATACTGGTATTTATTCTTTGCTTTCTTTAATTTTCGTATTTTATGATTGAAAAAAAAAATATTTTAGAGGTAAAGTTATGTTTTGTAGTTGGTTATGAATGCTATTGTTTGCCGAAGAGGAAGAGAATGGTTTGTGATCAAGCAAATTAAATAGAATTTATAAATGTTGATTGTGTATGACCCTTGCTGTTTTTTCACGTATTCCTTAGGAAAAGGAGCGAGTTTGGAATTTGGTTTTATTAATTCAATTCACAGACTTATAGTTTCCATGTTTCATAGCCAAAATTTAAAAGAAAAACTGTTCAAAATTCTTTATTCAAGCAGTCTTAGTTTTAAGAATGAATTTGATAGTCTGATTCTTGTTGTATCCTGTGCAGTCTACTTGTATACAAGTTTGGAATTTGATAAATTTGAGAATAATGTTTTTAGAATCAATATTTGAATCACTAGTGTTAAGTTTAAAAATGAAGTATCTGCTGCAAGCAATATCATCGCAAGTTCAAGGTAGTCTTCTCAGGTTTATTATTTAAGTGATGATTATGTCCTAGTTTAGTATCTCATGGTAAGGTAGAAGTTCTGGAGTCATCCGAAATCTTAGCTTTGGATAACCAATATGATGTTAGTTATTATTAGGATTGATCCAAATGCAGTCCTTGTAGTTTTGTAGCCTTTGGTATCCTTTCAATGTGGAAGGTGGACACAAATTTGAGTGGCTATACAGTTTTTGCTTTGTCTCTAAGAAGTTTGCATTTTTTTTTTTTTTTTTTTTTTTTTTGTTGAGAAAATTGTTTTGTTCACTGTGTGACTGTTTTTTGCACCAAACATCATTTACTCTTTTGCCTTGGGTAGAGATATCTACCTTTAGCTTTCTTATATTTTGTGGTGCTATATGTTTGAGAACAGCTGCTTAATTTTCTCTCCCTCATTTTTTTTTTTGGTTTATGATTATTAACTTAGTGGCTGGTGTAATTGATTGTTTAAAACACATATGGTTCTCCATTTTAATTTTTATTGTATACATGCTTCAAACTTCACGTATTGCTCTTATTTCCAGCTCATCAACATGCCAATCAACACACTGGAAATCTGGGCATAAGACAAAATGTAAGGATTATGGCAAAGTAAATACAGTGCAGACTGCGAGAACTGATTTTGGGTCAAACACTTCCAGTGCTTCCAGTGGTGGGGGTAAAAATATTAATGGAATTGCACTGGTTCCTGCTCGGGGAACCTGTAAGGTTTTAAAAAAGCCGAGAGAGGTAAATGTCCCGACCTTTCTTTTATAAGTGCCATTTGAATTAATTTTGACACTCTTGTTATCTAACTATGCTTCACGGTTAGATTTTCAGGTTCTATTTCCATATGATGAATTTGTGAAACTGTTCAATTGGAACAAGCCTGGATTCCCTCCTTGTGGGCTTATAAATTGTGGAAACAGGTATGAGTATGCCGTACGTAAACTTGCCGTACTACCATTTGTTGGGTGCTTTCAGCTGCTTGAGAACCATTCATGCATGGAAACTGCATGCTTGCATATAAAACACATTTTCACACATGCACCAGACTTATAAATGGTAGTTTCTCTTTCCATTGACTTCTATTTTATTCTTTTGTCCTTTTCTTTCTGTGCAGTTGCTTTGCCAATGTGGTTTTACAATGCCTTACATACACAAGGCCTTTGGTTGCTTACTTGTTGGAGAAGGGCCATAGGAGAGAATGTAATTTCAGCGACTAAGATCTTGTATGGCCTTCTTTTATGTTACTTGCTCGAACAATTCCTGATGCTAATGGTTGTTGATTTTCATTTTTCAGGTGGACGCGATGATTGGTGCTTCCTATGTGAACTTCAGGCACATGTAGAAAAAGCAAGCCAAAGTCAGCATCCCTTTTCACCAATGAGTATTCTCTCACGCTTACCTAACATTGGTGGCAATCTTGGTTATGGAAGACAGGAGGATGCTCATGAATTCATGAGGTTAGCATCTTGGTTATGTCCTATTTAATTAATTTTGAGCAGAAATTATTGACTTATAAGCGTGTTTAACATAAAGTTTAGTTTAATAAATGTCAAATTCACCATCTTCTGTTTGCAGGTTTGCCATCGATACAATGCAATCAATTTGCCTTGATGAATTTGGTGGAGAAAAAGCTGTTCAACCGAGCTCTCAAGAGACAACACTTATTCAACATATATTTGGTGGCCACCTTCAATCCCAAGTAAATGATCTTATCTATTTGTTTGAACCCTAGATGTTCTTTGTGCTTGTAAAGGCTTTCATATCCTCTAAATCTGCTATATTAAATTTCTGTCGGCAGGTCACTATCTCAAACTTGTTTTCTTCTATAATTTCACTTGAATGACGAAGTTGATGCATTTTTCAACTCAGCTGTTTCCTAATATAGTAATCTTGATAATAGTGTATGACCTAATATGGTAATCTTGATAATACCATGAGCTGTTTCCTCATGGTATGGGATATTTTATTCCACGAGTTTCTGACTACCAAGTTTGTAGAGTTTTGCAGTAGTCCATATTTTTTAACCTAGTGAAATCTACCAAGGGATTTCTGGGTAAAAGAAGTATTGTTATCTAATTCTTTAATTTTTTACGACTCATAGATAATGAAAGGTGTTAGGCTGTGGAGCCTTTTGATTGATTCAATACCCAGGGGAAATGGCCTGCCTTTGGATGCTGGGCAAGATTTTAAGATGTGATAACATATCATGTGAATTTAGGACCATTTTTTAGCTCCATGTTCACTTGGGATGTTTTCATATGTTCTGGTATATGATTAGAGACTTCTATTTCAATTTTTTTCACTTTCTATGAGTAATCTGCTTGATGATTTCATATGTTCTGGTATAAGATTTGATTCCTACTGAAATTTAAGTTTAACGGTTCAGACATTTTGTTTTCCTTCTTCAAATTTAGGTGTTATGTACAAAATGTGGTAACATTTCGAATCAGTATGAAAATATGATGGATCTAACTGTTGAAATTCATGGAGATGCTGCATCATTGGAAGAATGCCTCGAACAGTTCACTGCCAAAGAGTGGCTTCATGGAGAGAATATGTATAAATGCGATGGGTATGGTTGCATCTTCTTTCCTTTAATGCTCTAAAACTTTTAAACCTATGCTTATTGCTTGTTTTTATCTTCTGTTGGATGTATGCATCTTATTACGCTCTTATTTCTTCACGATGAACAAGATTCGGCTTAGTCTGTGATTTTACTTTTCCATCTTGCCTTCTAAGAGGGTGCAGATACGATGCACTGTACTTGATGTGATTCATGGGATTTAACTGTTTTGATCATTTGTTTAGATTCAATTCTTTCAATCCCAACTTGAGATATGGTATTGAATATGATATCCTCTTTGCAGATGCAATGACTATGTAAAGGCATGGAAGCGTCTTACTGTTCGACGTGCTCCAAACATTCTCACAATTGCCTTGAAAAGATTTCAGGTCTGAGCCATGCCCATCTTGTATTTGTTGTTATGGGGCCCAGTAAGAGAGATACCCAATTCATGTCCAAAAATATTAACAAATCCCTTTTTTGTTTTAATAACTTCTACTATTCATCTTGAAATTCTATTGGATAATAGTTTTTTTCTTGTGATTTCTGAAATCATCGTGCTGCAAAACTTTTGTAGAGTGGGAGGTTTGGGAAACTGAACAAAAGAGTGAGTTTTCCTGAGACTTTGGATCTTAGTCCTTACATGAGTGAAGAAGGAGGTGGCGCAGATGTCTACAAGCTTTATGCAGTTGTTGTCCATGTGGATATGCTGAATGCGTCTTTTTTCGGTCATTACATATGCTATGTCAAGGATTTCAGTGGAAACTGGTACAGAGTTGATGACTGCAAGGTAGAGATAGTCTCTGTGTGTCTCTCTATCTATCTAGCTACGTATCTAGGTGTATGTGTGCACATTTGCATGTGTTATTGTTACACTTGTAAAGGTTCTGCATCGGAACCCATCTGTTGGATTGTGTTATCTGAATTTACTGAACTATCAAACATTACTGGCTTTTGATTGCATGGCTATTGGTAACTGGTCTCTGATTAAAACCAGCGTTGCTGGAAATTCACCAGAAAATGCTTTGAAACCAGCTTTGCATTTTAAACAAGGAATTGATTGGATTTAGCAACTTGATTTTGAGTGACTGAAAATTATTTTGTTTGCACCTTTCTACATAGACTCAACTTTTATGTACCAGATGTAGTACTTTGGATTCTCAGTTTCTTCTAACTCCTCTTTCACGACTTTTCGTAGGTTATGAGTGTGGAACTGGAAGAAGTACTTTCTCAGGGAGCATATATGCTTTTATATAGCAGGTGCACTTTCTCTCCCTATTCATCCCCAATTCTTCCTTTTGTGTGTGTGGATATCTCAATTCACCTCACATATTAGCAGACAGTTTTACCAAAAAAGATAGTGGCTGGTGTAATGATCCTGAACAAAAGGTTGGCTTGCTCGATGCTAAAATAGGTATATGACTGTTGTACCCATTTGAAAGTAAAAAAGGTTGAAGAAATTATTTTATGATTAGAAAAGAAATTTCAGGTTAATCGAAGCAGTGTCTGAATTTCTTGGAGATGTCAATAACTAAGAAAGTGGTTTGGTGTTGGGATTAATATTTAATAATTATTTTGATTCTTTCTTTCCCATACTGAACAACTGCTTGTCAAATGACCTAGAATCTGCATGGATTGAGTGATGTCTGATTTGTGATACAATACATGATGTGAAAGATTTGCAAATGAAAGAAGTGACAACCCAAGAGCTTCATTTTTTTTTTTTTTAATTTTTTTTTTTTTTTTAATTGTATGATTCGTGCACATTTGTTCAGTTAATTTATATAATAAGACAGAACTAGTGATCTTTGGAGTTATGTATAATAAGGGCTTTATTGTGATCTGCAGTTAGATGTCTTTGCTTTATTTATCCTTGTTGCATACATTGTATATGCATAGATATTCATATTCTTGTGCATTTCCTCAGTGTGTGTGTGTGTGTGCGCGCACACACCAACACAAGCATACCATAAGAAAAAAAAAAGATAAATATTGGTATGTATTGATAAGTTTGTGTCTTGGAGTGTGTGCTTACATGTCCAGATTTAAGTTCAGACTTCTATATATTTTTTCTACTTTTCATCTTTCCTGTTTAAAAGATGGATGGTGACATTTTTTGCTGGCTATTTTGCAGAGTTGCACCACGGTCTTCATGTCTAACTACTGGTGAACCTTTGAGGAAGGAGGAGCAGAAAGCAGTGAATGGAAAATTGGAGAGCCCAAATGGAGATGAATGCTTCTCTCCCACACGGTCAAATAATCCCATTAGTAGGTGTGCATCATCTTCATCTGATGATACTTCACACTTAAGGGTTTCTGCTTGCGGAAATGAGTCATCTAGTGGTGAGGATTCTCTACCCGTAACCGAACATTTTGAGGATATTAATGTGGTTAAGACCAAATCAAGTTCAATTGCTTTTAAGGAGGTTTCCAGTGATGAAAATAAGTCATCTTCTGCTCAAGTTGCAAGAGAAGATCCGGAGGATGTTGATATGGTTTATACCGACTCAAGTTCATCAGATGGGAAAGATCTCTCTAGCTGCAACGAAAAATTGCGTGTTGCGTTTACTTCTGAAGCTGCTAGAGAAGATCCTGGGGAGGATACACACATGGTTGATTCTGAACCTTATTTATCTGGTTATAGAGAGGTTTCTGTCTGTGATGATGATTCACATGTGGCAATTGATTCTGAAGCTGCCATAAAAGATTCAGAAGATACGAATATGGTTGATTGTGATACAAATTCATTTGTTGCAAAGGATGTTAAAGTTTGTGGTAGTATGTGTTCTTGTCCAAGTGAGACATCTCCAGCTAGAGCTCATAATCTGAAAAATTTGGTTGTTCAGAATGGTAATGGAGTCAAGAGAAGTGGAATATCAGATGACAATTAGTTCACAATAATATTATCGGTCGCATTTGTCCACTAATTTTTTGTTCATAAATTTTAACAATAACGACCCCATCTTCGAAGGAAGAGGCTGAGTTGGGAATTTTGATCTGGGGTTTCGATATTTGCAGAAATCGCAGATTATATGGTACTGATTTTTTAGATGGACTGGGTAACTTTATTACTTATTAGTGATACAGTTTGAAGAATGTCCATACGTTGAGAACAGGATTCTCTTCTCTATAAATGTGGCGTTTTAGTGTTTGAATTATATATGTGAATGTGAAAGCCATATTTCTGTTACTGGTAGAGTCTAGCATTGTCTTGTTTAGAAACTCTCTGGCTATATGCCAATATCTACCAATTAGTTAAACATCTATTTACGAAGATCCAATGTTCCTAATCACAACATTTTTATTTTATTTTTATTTTTATTTTTTAACTGAGTTAGTGTGTATTTCGATTAATTTTCTAGGGCTAACGATGGATAAACCTATAGTAATCATCCTATTAGAAGTTGAAGTGAATTGAAGTAATACACCCAAGACTACAACTCACAAATTTCCTTATGAATTATATGCTTTTGTAAAAAGTATTTAAGCGATAAATAATCAAATAGAATATATAAAAATTATGTCAAAATATAAGGTCTAATTGATAATAAAATCATCTTGTCCCACTTCCTAAACCTCTTGCCCCATCTTCTAAAACGATTAAAATTGTCTTTCTCCTGCACAGTCTACCCACAGTGTTCACACTGTTTATCAGTCACTGAAAACACTTTCTCTTGATCCAAGAATCCAACAAAATTATTTTTAATTTTCTAGTTCCCAACGTTTAAATGCTACTGTGACAAGCTGATAAAACCGTTTCTTATCCGGTAAATTAATCAATTTCTCTTTATCATATTTATTTTCAGAGGATGCGTTGCCGTTGATCGCATTTCAACTTCTTAGATTTGAGCTTTCTCTTTTTGCAGGTTTTATCAATTTTGAATCACTAAATCATGGAACCTCTTAGTGTTGCGGAGACGACTCCGTATTTGAGGTTAATCTCGGCTTATTTTGAATTTCGTGCTCATATTTGTAGTTTCAGTTTTTATTAATTAATTAGCTTAAACAAACTCCTGTTGTTAGTTGTTACTCTTTGAAGCAAATTCTTGCTTTCAAAAGCAGTAAAGGTGTTTTCAAAATGTTGTTTTAAAGCTTTTTAGAACTCATTCTTTGTTCAAGTGGTCCCAAAATACTACATGGGTTCTTTCAAAAAGGCTGAAGAATTTCCAGCAACTATAGGGTAAAAATTAGTGATCTTTTGTTGTATTAATAATGCATTTTTGGACATTTGAGCGAGCTGGATATATGTATATTTATTTAATGATTTACTTTTTTCTGTGCTTTAGATGTAGCTGAACTTTCAGCTTGTTATAATTTGTTGCTTTGATTGAAATGTAGTTTGTTTGCTGCACTGTCGTATGGAATTTCTTCGATGGCTATGGTTTTTATCAATAAGGCAGTTATCATGCAGTATGCACACTCAATGACGCTTCTTACTTTACAGGTGTTTAGTTAAGATCAAGAGAATTATAATTGTAGTTATAATTATTCTTCGCTGATTATTTTTTATTGATTGTGGAATAACAATTTATTTTTTATTGATTGTGGAATAACAATTTGATTGTTTTAGCAATTGGCTACTGCATTGCTTATACATATCGGCCGTCGAATGGGATATACAAAAGCAAAAGGAGTAGATATGACTACAGCNGTTTGCTGCACTGTCGTATGGAATTTCTTCGATGGCTATGGTTTTTATCAATAAGGCAGTTATCATGCAGTATGCACATTCAATGACGCTTCTTACTTTACAGGTGTTTAGTTAAGATCAAGAGAATTATAATTGTAGTTATAATTATTCTTCGCTGATTATTTTTTATTGATTGTGGAATAACAATTTATTTTTTATTGATTGTGGAATAACAATTTGATTGTTTTAGCAATTGGCTACTGCATTGCTTATACATATCGGCCGTCGAATGGGATATACAAAAGCAAAAGGAGTAGATATGACTACAGCAAAAAAGCTTCTCCCTGTTTCTCTTTTCTACAATGCTAATGTAGCATTTGCTCTAGCAAGCTTGAAAGGAGTTAACATTCCTATGTATATTGCAATCAAGAGACTCACACCACTCGCTGTATTAATTGCTGGGTTCTTTTCAGGAAAGGGGAAACCTACAACTCAGGTTTGTTCCTGGTTTTTCATCTACTGTTTTGACTCCAAATTTGTTGATGAATGGAGAGTCAGTGTTGCTGTGTAAAGTTCTTGATGACATAAAATAATTTGTAATAATTGTGCACTACACATTAGAATGAAGCATGGTTGAACCCCATTGAAAGAAGCACTGGTACCCTGCTAGCATCACACTTTAGGATTTCTTTGTCTTTTGGCCCAATCTCCAGGCTTTCAGCCAGATGTTAAACTTAAATTTACACTTCATTTCTAGATTTCTAGTTGTGCTTAACTTTACATTAACATATTAAATATTGATGTTGCCTTTTGGTTTATAAAATGACTACAGGTATAACTTTTGTTTTTCAGGTATTTTATTCAATAGCAAATATCATTTTGACTTAATGATGCTTTATTTACTAATGAACAAGAGTACGCTGATTTGTTTAGATATGAGTAGTCATTTGGTCATCACTTATTAATGCAGTAGTGGATTTAGTGGTGCATGGAATATTGCTTTGGATCCATCTCCTAATGTAACTTTACTTTATCTTTCAATTGGCATATAAGTATTTCCATCTCAATAAAAATTAGCTCTTACAAATTTTGAGTTTATGTGGGAAAATTGAAGGTATTTTCTCTTATAGAAGCTCAATTTCCCAAGTAGTCGTCAACTTAATTGGTATCACATTACCTGGCATGAGCCTTTATAATGTTTTTGGTTTAATCAGTATTCCATCAAATTCCTAAAGAGAAGAAGATCCTGATGGAACTTCTGTTACAATTATGATGGTCTCTGTTTCATATTTCAGGTAGCTCTTTCAGTGCTATTAACTGCTGCCGGTTGTATTATAGCAGCCATTGGAGATTTTTCTTTTGACCTTTTCGGATACAGCCTGGCCCTAATTTCTGTTTTTTTCCAGGTTTAGTCCCAAGTTCTTTTTTTTTGCTCATAGATCTGTATACTGTGGACAGTAGCTTCAAAATTTTATGCTTCCCTTCCCTTCCCTTGCCCATTATAGTTTTAGCAATAATAATATTATGTTTTTGTTGTCAAATGCAGACCATGTACCTTGTGTTGGTGGAGAAGTCTGGTGCAGAGGATGGGCTTTCATCAGTTGAGATTATGTTCTATAACAGCTTTCTTAGTCTTCCATTCTTGCTATTTCTTATCTTAATAACAGGGGAGTTTCCCAATTCCTTGTCATTATTAATTGCAAAGGTCAGAGTCTTCATCCATTTTCTTCTGTCAGAATTTATTATTGATTGTGTTGGAGAGTAATTATATATAATGATTCCTGAGAAAAGAATGCTAACTTCATGAAATATGTCTGTGCCCTTGGATAGACTGTTCTAATGGTTTTTAAGTCATATTCAAGCTGTGTCTTAATAAAAAAATATAAAATAAGAAAGTTTTTGATAATATCTGCAGTACATGTCTGCACTTAACCATTCAGGTCCATATGTATGTGATTATACTGACTTCAAAACCTTCAAATGCAAAATTTTAATTCAATGTTCTGTTTAAAGTTTATATGCTTAAATTGGTTTCATCCAAAATGGTATCCACTGAAAAAACTTATGTACTTACTTGCACCATGTAAATGTTCTATTGTTCAAATTGGGTTTTCTGGTTGAAGAGACAATTTCTTTCTTTCCACCAGCATTCCTACCAAATTTCAGAATTTGGGGTTGTAGGTTGATGGTGATAGCTCTGTCCATGAAAGTAATGAACCGTATTCCTTCATATTGTGCAACATAGTCGTACTGCACTCAATGATTTATTAGTAGGCAATCGGTATTTAACAAACTGTCTTTATTTGCAGAGTTATTCATTTACCTTTTTGGTGATCCTTACCCTTTCTTTGGTGATGGGCATTGTTCTCAACTTTACTATGTTCTTATGTACCATAGTCAACTCTGCTCTAACCACTACCATTGTTGGAGTCCTAAAAGGCGTTGGGTCCACGGTATGTGTAGACCATACTCTGGGCTCCCTTTTCTGTTTTTAATCTTTATCCATCTTGTAGAGATGCAGAGGAAAGGAAAAAGGAAGTGAAGTCTTAACCATTATGCCAATTTTTGTAGGATGTTAAATTTGTTCTTTCTACTTCCTATCTTTTTTGCAATCTTCTGACACTATTTATAAATGTCCAATTCATGATGATGAAACTTATATTCTTCTTACTCAGACCCTTGGTTTTGTCGTGCTGGGTGGTGTACAAGTGCATACTTTGAATGTGACTGGATTGGTTATCAACACAGCCGGTGGTGTATGGTATTCGTATGCCAAATATCATCAAAAGAAAAACAAACCACCAAAGGTGATATCAGATGTTGAGGCTCATCGCAAATAAATTTTCATGAGGATCGCAGATGGGCACAAAGATCCACGCTAAGTAAATAGATCTTTTATTGCTTATATCTTCTTGTAGTTTGTTAATAATATGATTCAGTTTGATAGCAATTTCTTCTCCAAACATGAGTCACACATCTATTCTATAAACTAATAGATTAAAAAAAAAAAAACTATTGTTGTCGATTATATTGACCTCGACAGAGGCATTTTGTAGCTCAATTCCATCTTATTGCTGTTTGGTTGTTAAACAACGTCATGTAATGCAAAAACTCAAGTATATTTATCTCATCTTGGACTCAAAACTTTTCTGGGTGGCTCCTATTCTGTGGCATTTTCAGAACCAGAAACTACTTTCATGGAAGCATATGTCACGTTTATTTTTAGAATGATACATCATTTATTCGAAATAAAAATTGAGTGAACTTGGCTGGAAATAATTGGACAGCTATTACAGAAGGCAAACATGAATATGAAATTAGTACATGACACGTACTAGTTATCCAGATTTAGAATTGGTCCCCGTTACTGGGCCTTGGCTTAACATACCATCCTTGTTCTGGCCAGTCTGGCCGGGCTATTTATATCTTCCAATTCTCTTTCCCCATAATAAATTTCCCTTTGGAGCTATTGCATTATAGTTTCGTTTGTATCTGGGCATTAGTTGGAACAGTTTTATGAGCCAGTAACTGTAATCCTCTCTTTTCCAAGAATTTCACCATTACACTCCAAAAGGAAAAAAAATATATCTAAAAATAGACAAATTGTTAGTGATACTTTTTTTTTTTTTTTTTTTTTTAATATATAACCGGAATGTTCGAGCCAGTTCGCGTGTACCTCAACTAATCCCTAAGGTCTATTGAATACTTTCGTACAAATCCAAAAGATCAGGTAAGTCATAATAATTGATATTATAGTAGGTAGTTCTAAGGTTTGAATCCAAGAACTTAAGAAATAGAGCAAACATTTTTTGACAGGTAGGCCACTCCCTTATAATTTGTTAGTGATACTTGTACATGCATTTGTCCCAATCAAAATTATCTGTACTTGAAACACAAATAACCTTGTGTAACATCCCCTACCAGTGAATTTCAATGGGGTTTGGAGAACTGCAATCCTCAGTTATTGTTACTTTCTGAAAGCACCGACCCAGATAATTTATATATTTATTATTACTTTGAACCATTTGATGCAATAAAAAGCTATAATAATTGACATATGGGAGAGAATATAGATCTAATTACAGGTAGGTCCACAATCTAACTTGAATATTTTCTCACTAACTTTTTATTAAATGAAATATGAATTGTGTGAATTTTTCAACCAACAAAAAATTGGGGTGTTGGGAAGCATCAATGGTGGGCTTTAATTTCAAGTAGGGCATTGCTTGTGTGGTTGGTTTTCTTCTTTAGATATCTCTCTCTCTTTCTTTCCCTACCTGAGCCCTTTAAAAAGCATATTAAAAACATTTTTTTAAGAAACTTTGGATATATTCACCAAATCTATTACCACCAGATACAGTGTAGTTGAAACTACAAAACCAGGGGTTTTATAAAGTACAAGGATCAATTCCTTTCTTGGTCAATTTGGGTTTACTTTTCTTTTAATTAAAACGTTTATCATATTTTAAATGCATTTCTGTTAATTGAATTTGATGATAGCTTTACCAAAATGTCTTGACATAAAAGAGAGAACATCCAGAATTTTCCAGCTAAGAGGTGCTGAATTTAAATCCCATTTTGGATTTCGTTTATAAATCTTATATCACATGCAGAAGGGTCAGATCTAGAAATAATTGTCACAAACTAAATAAAAGAAATAATAAATAACAAAGCACTTCCCTAAAACACCAATATGGGAATTACAGTGTGTTTACTGTTTGTGGAATCAAACAAGAAAGCAGGGATTTAATGGTTGAGGAGGTGCAGTGAAAGAGCAGGATAAAAAGTGTGTGGCAAAGAGAATTAAAATGTGTTACATCAAATCTGGTTGTCTTTGAAAACTTAGTTTCAACATCTGGAAAGCGGATTAAAATCATTTTACACAGCAAAAGTAAATTAAAAAAAGTAGGTGACGCAATCACATTTCGATACTTACTTCCACCTTCAACCTTCAAACCTCGCCACTTCATCATTACTTTCCTAATCATTCATAAATAAAATAAACACTTACTTTTAATACTTTCATTCATATTATTGTCCGCTTTCACATTATAGAGTCGCAATTTTGTTTTTGGGCTTAAAACCTAAAACGTGCCTATTGAGTATATGTTTATTGGCCGTATTTACACATTTAGTTATTATCAAACAAGATTGATATAAGACTTTAAATCACAATACTTTTAAATTTAATTAAATAGATATTATCCGCAGACATAAGTGGGTTATAAGTTTATTTACCATTAAATAAGTGGTGAGTTTATCATTGGATCACGAGCAAACTTTCTTTATTTTTGGGTTTCATATAAATATTTTTCATCTAAAACGTGTCTACTTAATTATAAGATTCAAGTCTTATACATCGAATTACAAACTCTTTTTTTATTGGCAAATAAAAGGGTACCATAAATTAATATTACAAGACGAATCCGTGTATGTCTAGAGAATCAAATAAAATATGATATTGGAGATGCTTTACATTAATTGCCATAGCAAAGTTTTTTTGGGATCCCACACAATTATGGGCATAATAATCAAACACAAGTTGTACTTAATTATAAACTTAATTAGTTAACAAAATCCCCCAAAAGTAACCAAAATATGTACTATAAAAAGCCCTAGCTTTAATTGACAACAATGCCATTACAACAAATATTTAAGAAATAGAGAAGTAACGCAAAGACAAAAGAAACAGAACAAAAGAATATTCTTACCTTATTATGTCCAGAACCGACATTATCCAGTTAATGATAATAACAAGATTAACGATAATCAATTTTCTTAATTAACTCTTAATCTTTTTAATTTAGCATTATATTTATTTATTTATTATAAATGAATTTTTTTTTTTTTTTTAAAATGACCATGTTTAGCTCTTCACGTTCTCCATGTTCTTGCAAGATTTCAACAGTCGAAAACAATTAGTCAAATGTTCCTGAAGACCTTATCTAGATTTTCTCAAATAATGGAGAGCTTAAGCGTGTAGTGTACTTTCNGCGAAGACAAAAGAAACAGAACAAAAGAATATTCTTATTTTATGATGTCCAGAACCGACATCATCCAGTTAATGGTAATAACAAGATTAACGATAATCAATTTTCTTAATTAACTCTTAATCTTTTTAATTTAGCATTATATTTATTTATTTATTATAAATGAATTTTTTTTTTTTTTTTAAAATGACCATGTTTAGCTCTTCACGTTCTCCATGTTCTTGCAAGATTTCAACAGTCGAAAACAATTAGTCAAATGTTCCTGAAGACCTCATCTAGATTTTCTCAAATAATGGAGAGCTTAAGCGTGTAGTGTACTTTCTGAGTCAACTGGAGTTTACTCTTTAAGCTTACATAGTTCATGATAGTTTCATTTTTTTTTAATAATAATTCAATGGCATATACTATTTCTATGGGCTAAAGTTAAGGTAAATGGTAAATTCTATGGCAGTTAAAGCAAGCGAGAGTTGTGGTGATTGTTTGTATTACAAGACAAATTGACCACACCACGACAACTTGCTGTTAAGCTCTTACACCTTCAGATACCTTTCCTCATATCATAATGTTTCTTTCCCATGTTGGTTGTGTCCTTAAGACTACAAAGAATCTCTTTACTTTCTCTGCTTTGCTTTAGCTACATTGTGTTAAAAATGAAGAAGCTTTCAGTTTAGTTTTACTTCTTTGAGATTGGGGGATCTGACAACATGGGTTTAGTTTTAGTTCATCAAGATCTGGGTTGTGAAGATTTTTAGAGTGTTTTATTTTTTCTGGGTTTTTGGGCTGTACTCGTGGTTAGTGATTTTTTCTACTTTTTTTTAGTGTTTCAATGGCTCCAAGATTGTATTTTTCACATTGGTGGGGGAAAGACACAAGAAAGGGAACACCAGTGGTGGTCACAATGGAGAATCCTAATTACTCGGTTGTCGAAATCAACGGCCCAGATGCTGCATTCAGGCCAGTTGAAAGGAGTAGAGGCAAGAATGCTAAACAAGTTACATGGGTTTTGCTTCTCAAAGCTCATCGTGCTGTCGGTTGTGTGGCTTGGTTAGCTACAGTGCTCTGGGCATTACTTGGTACCATTAAGAAAAGACTCATCTTTAGACAAGGAGTAGCAATGGATAGTGAGAAGTTGGGTAAAGGGAAATTGCTATTTAGAGTCATTAAAATGTTTCTGGTGACTTCTTTGGCAATTCTTGCTTTTGAAGTGGTTGCTTATTTCAAAGGGTGGCATTATTTTAGAAATCCTCATTTGCACATGCCTGGAACTAGTGATATTCAGGGCTTGCTTCATTTGGTTTATGTTGGTTGGCTAACGTTTCGGGCTGATTACATTGCACCCCTAATTCAAGCACTCTCTCAATTTTGTGTTGTTTTATTCATCATCCAATCTCTGGATCGATTGGTGCTTTGCTTAGGTTGCTTTTGGATTAAATTCAAGAAGATTAAGCCCAGGTTCGAAGGGGATCCATTCAAGTCTGATGATGTTGAGGGGTCGGGTTATGAGTATCCCATGGTACTTGTTCAAATCCCCATGTGCAACGAGAGGGAGGTAATTCACTGAACTTCATCTCTTTTATGTCCCTTTTTTTTTTCTTTCTTTATTTTATTTGGTGTCTGTATATTAATGTTGTATTTGTCTTCTTACAGATAACAAAATTCCTGAGCTTTTAGGAAAGAACTTTAAGAACTTTTTGCAGTGTTTAGGAATAATTTGCAGGGTTTTTGAATCTTCAAATAGAAGATAATAAAATGGAATAGATACTTCTCAATATACAAGTATGAGTTACATCAGCACTTGAAGAATTTGAATAATTATGTCACAGTGCTCAGATCTGTTATTTTAGCTCAATGATGAACTGGAAGTCTCCATCAAGGGTAAAATCTTGTGGGGACATCCAAAATTAACACAATTGATTACTTTAGGTGGTCATTTTATTTTCTTTCGATTATCATGGTGTTGATGGTTTTCTCTACTGTTCTTGTGTAGGTGTATGAGCAGTCTATCTCTGCAGTCTGCCAACTTGATTGGCCAAAGGACCGTATACTGATTCAAGTTCTTGATGATTCTGATGACGAGAGCATCCAATGGTTAATTAAGGCAGAGGTTGCAAAGTGGAGCCAGAAGGGTATCAACATAATTTATCGGCATCGCTTGGTTAGAACTGGTTACAAAGCTGGGAATCTTAAGTCTGCAATGAGCTGTGATTATGTGAAGGATTATGAGTATGTTGCAATCTTTGATGCCGATTTCCAACCTAACCCAGATTTTCTTAAAAGTACAGTGCCGCATTTCAAGGTAGAGAAAAGCAGACATAGATCATTTTGACAGAAGTTTGGAGAGAAACATACAGTGGGGAAAATTAACTTGAGCCTATTGTTTACTTTGTTTTGCAGGACAATCCCGAATTAGGATTGGTTCAGGCTAGATGGTCCTTTGTGAACAAGGATGAGAACTTGCTGACTCGTCTCCAAAACATCAACTTGTGTTTTCATTTTGAGGTGGAACAACAGGTTAATGGCGTATTTCTGAACTTTTTTGGTTTCAATGGAACTGCTGGTGTCTGGAGAATTAAGGCCCTTGAGGAATCCGGTGGTTGGCTTGAAAGAACAACTGTAGAGGATATGGACATTGCTGTCCGTGCACATCTAAATGGCTGGAAATTCATCTATCTTAATGATGTGAAGGTACTCCTATATTAGTCTAGTCTGACCTTGCTTTTTGTATTTCAGTATTTGTGATATTTAGTTTTATTGTGGAGGTACTGTCAGTTTTAGATTTAGCTCATAGATTGTTGATGATTTAAGTAAATTGAATACATGATTTTATGCAAATTTGGTAATGACCTACAATGCCAACTATATCACATCAAATTTCAGGTCCTTTGTGAAGTCCCTGAGTCCTATGAAGCTTACAGAAAGCAGCAACATCGTTGGCATTCTGGACCTATGCAACTTTTCCGCTTGTGTCTTCCTGCAATTATAACTTCCAAGGTACAGTTTTGTGCTCGATTTCCATTTTTGGCTAACATAATTTACTTAATAATTAATATTTCTAATGAATGTTGTACCTCTGCAGATAGCAATATGGAAGAAAGCAAACTTAATACTGCTGTTCTTTCTATTGAGGAAACTTATCCTTCCATTCTATTCCTTCACATTGTTCTGCATAATTCTTCCTCTAACCATGTTTGTCCCGGAGGCTGAGCTTCCTGTGTGGGTCATTTGTTATGTTCCAGTTTTTATGTCATTCCTCAACATTCTTCCTGCCCCAAAATCTTTCCCTTTCATTGTTCCTTACCTCCTATTTGAAAACACCATGTCTGTGACCAAATTCAATGCAATGGTGTCTGGATTATTCCAGTTGGGTAGTTCATATGAGTGGGTTGTCACCAAGAAGGCTGGCAGGTCATCAGAATCTGACTTACTAGCCGCTGCCGAGAGAGAATCAAAGACAATGAACCAGACACAGATGTACAGAGGAGCTTCTGAGAGTGAGCTTTCTGAGTTGAACCAATTGAAGGAGCAAAAGGAATCAGCTGCCGCACCTAAAAAGAAGGTCAACAAGATATACAGGAAAGAGCTTACTCTAGCATTCCTCCTACTCACGGCTTCTGTCAGGAGCCTGCTCGCGGCCCAAGGAGTGCACTTCTACTTCTTGCTCTTCCAAGGGGTGACCTTCCTCCTTGTGGGGCTTGATCTGATTGGTGAGCAGATGAGCTGATGGTGCACAGAAGGAAGTCAGAGAAATGAAAAAGTCAACTTCTGCTCCGATTCAACCAAAGTACATCCAGTATTAAAAATTCATTGTGGCGGTGCAATTAAAGAAGAGCAACCCTTTTCTCCTTGGCAAATGGTGGAAGGGCTTCTAATTCAATGCAAATGATATTTCACTTTTGACATTTGAATTGAAGTTCCCTATATAAGATTTTCTCTCTTCATCCATCACTCTCCACACCACGGTAACACCTTTCTTTTTATATTTATATCTTCATATTTTCCATTGAATAGTTGTCATTGTAGTCTTCCGTAGGCATTGAATTATTGTTGTTTGTCATAGTTAGAATTTTGTATTCTATTTTTTTTTTTTTTTTTTCTTTACAGTTGGCTTTAATTCTTGCTGGGTGTGATTTGGCATTTCAGATTCAAGCCATATTGTATTTTATTAAAGTTGAAACATATGAGTGAGGTCTAAGGGATGAGCTTGCTTGATGCTCTCTATTGTTTAGATTCCCATTTTAATGGTGAGTGAGACATGTAAAACATAATATGATCTGTACATTTGCATTTATTTTCTTCTATCTAATGTAACAATTAATCTCTCTTCTTTCCACCCCCTTTGCCTTGACATTTTCTCTCTGTGTCTTATGTATATTTGCTTGCACTTCACTTGTGTATTCAAGCTCCAAATCTACACGTGTGTAGTCAAATAATGTAAAGTGTCGGCAGGCAACCCATTCAAAAGAAGCTGGTTTTTAAGAAGTGCTAGTGGGGCATTGAAGGATTTAGTTTCATATACAAATCAATCTTCAAAAAGCAGTGTTTAACATAGCTGGGGCCAAGAGATCTTTCGTGGGCATATTCAGATTCTAGTTTTTGTGTATGGCCTGTTAATGGTGGACTCTGTAATTAGGACAAACTGGCACCTTGCATTGGTCTTCCGTCGCTGCCTTCTAGGTCCACTTCGTTAAAATTTTGTCATCAAAAGACTGTATACTGTAACAAAGAAGGCCAAATAATTTATTAAAAAAATGTTGATTTGACAATCCTTCATGTTTGTTACATATTCATTTCTTGGCACCTCGTATTCATTTCTGCATATTGCCTGTAGCTATCAAGGAGCACGTTACTTTGTCTATGGTTGGCGCAAGTGGGTTTGGCTTCACTAAAATTTTGGGTAGGACCAAAATTGTTCATCTTGTTAGCTGGTTTATTAATTAATTTGAAAATACCAGAAAACTGCTGAATAGAGTCAACATTTCATTACTGAATAAAACCCCAGTTATAAAATCTGTTTATAACTATATGGTCCAGTTCCCGTAAATCAAGTTCTGAGTATTTGTCATTTCAATGGTAGTTTCCATTAATTTTTCACTTGTCTGATATTTTGATTCTCATGTTTTCAGCCACTAGACACTGAACTCTGCAGTACAGTGAGCATGTAAGAAAACAACTGTTTTAACTTTTGATTTCAGAATTCTATGACAGAATTTGTGCAATGATATAAGACACAAATCGTAGGGCAAAGTAGTGATGGAACTGTAGAACAAATTACTGCAAAAGGTATCAAATCTATACTGGGATTCTAGTTTGATATGGGTAAATTGGATTAATTTGATCCGCTCCCTAATGCCTTTGGGTTGCTGAAACTATAATAAGATCTCCTATTAACAGGACATGTTTACTAATGTTGGCATAGGCTTAAATACATTATACAAATTATTAACAGCTTAAGCCATGACTACTTGGAAAAAAAGAAAAAATAGAGTTTCAGAAACCTAGCAAGTGCTACTTTAATGGAGTTAGATAGACAAGTCTTCATCTGGCTCTGTTGAGAAGTCTGGCTCCTCAGGTTTTTGCAACTTTGGCAATTCAACGTCCTTAATTTTCTGAGCTCCTCTCCTCGTATTTTTAGCAAACTTTGAAGCCAGTATTGTAACACCTAGGTGTTGCTTAGCATGAGCAGAAGATGATGATTCAGTACTACTATGATCTTCATCGTCTTGCTCTCTTTCATTAGACACTTGCTCATAATTATTATATGAGAATGATTCCATTGTGCCAAGACTTTTAGCCATTCTCCTCTTCTTGAAACGACGCCAAGCCACCTGAATGAAGCATGCAGCCCACGTCCTCCAGTGGTAGGAATAGAAACGAAATGTGTGTTGTAGCTTCTTACTATGGAGGCGTCTGAACTGATTGGCCACAAATTTTAAATCTTCAGCTCTTAATGCAAAGGCTTCAACCTCGACGAGGGACTTCACAGTTCTCGTAGAAGAAGGCAAGTTGACAGTAGATTTTGGCAGCAATGCCCAAGCAAGCAACTCCTCACCACAAAAGTCGCCTGGTCTTAGAGTAATTGAATTGAAGAAACCTGTTCGGCCCCCATTTGTAGTTGAGCTTTCCAGCCGCCCTCTGATAATAAAAAGCATCTCTGTAACAGGATCACCTTCACGAACTATGTAGGTACCCTGAGTACTTAAGGAGGATACCAAGCGCTCACATATGGCGTCTAGTAGCTGATCATCCATTTGTGAGAAAAATGGAACCTGCAATTTGGTTAAAATCAATGGCTAATTAAGTACCGAAGTAAGATACAGGAGTCCTTCACAGGTTAATTGACATGAAAAAATATTATACTATTTCCTTCAGATGTTGTTTTGCCAAGCCTGAGACTATAATATCAGGAAATAGAACACATCTTGGACATAAGAAATCAGGCCTGTACCATTGAGAAAGATTACTTGAAAAAGAAGTTACCCTTCGAACAAGGTCCAAGCAAAGGTGGCGTTGGATATCTCGGCGAAGATCTGTAGGTAGCGCATGTAAGATTGATTCTTCATCAACTCCTCGAGTTGCAAGCCACTTATACTGAACAAATCGCCTTACACGTTCTCTAAGATCTTGAGGGAGCTGGCGATGTCTCATCCACTCCTCAGTGTCTCGCCGCTTAAGTCTCCACTCCTCAAGTCTCACAGTGATGGATTGCAAATAGGTCTATACAAAATACAGAATGGTTAAAGGGTGAAGTGTAGGAAATTTAGGGAACTGAACAAGAAAATGAATGACAGACAAATATGGCAAGAATGTACAAAGGGTTTTCCAATACCTGCATGTTTCCAATTAAATGAGCAAACAAAACCAGACCCAAAATAGCAATGAGTATAGCAAACATGGTTTCCCCAATGAATGTGCTTGTGGTCAAAGTCTGGCCATAAGAACTGCAATTTATAAAGTAGAACAAATAGATCAAAATTTTGTGCAAAGAAACACATTTAATTCACGCTACAAGCACAGTTGATGTGGAGAAGACAATCAAATATCTTTGTTACCATACAGAAAACTTAGATTATGCAGCATAAGTGAAGCATACCTCAAATTCTGTAAGCCCCACCAGAGACAATAGAAATACTTCTCAAGGAACTTTAAGGAGACAACATTATTTGTCAATGCATTTCCAAATATGCCATATTGGAAAACTTTTGAGTTTGTAGGATCGCAGTTATTAAACACAACAGTACTATTCTCCCATAACTGCCGATCATCATTACTCAGTGTGCCACAGTCCAAGTAATAGAGAAAGCATTTTGCAGGACTAAATTCCTTTCTGCATTCAGATTTCCAGCATGTTGCATACCGTTCAATTGACAACAAATACCACGATGCTCCTAAGACCTGCAAAGCAGAAGCCAAATTATTGCAATTTACTCAAGTCTAATAATAAATAAACAGAATTAAAGAGAGAGGAGAAATTACATACATGACTGGCCAACATGTACAGCACAAGATTATATGCAGCACCAGCCCAAGCAGTCTTTGTGACAACTCCAGTGGCTTTGATAATCTGGGCACTTAATGGGAAAATCAGATATAAGCGTGGAACATATTGGAGCAGAACAATCAACACAAGCGCATTGTTTGTATGATCAGCAGAGGAGCTTCTGACTGCTGGTATAATAAACCATATCACTATCTGGCAAATAAAGAGAGACAAAAAGAACTATCAGATCTTATTTTTTACTTTATCTTGTGGCAGTGACAAACTTCCAAAAATATAAGGGAGCAAATCATGTGCAAAAAGAGAATAAAAAGATGTTTAAATATTATGATAGATGTTATGATTATCAATGTGCCAAATCTAGTCATTATCAGAGGCAGAAGCATTCTATTTTCCTCATCAGTTTCTGCATCTTGTACCTAACTTCAAAATTGCATATCAAACATAAGCTGAGGAATAGGCCTTTACTGCTAATCAATATACAAACTAAATTATGTTCTAATTATATCAAACATTCAAGATTCTACACAGTAAACAAATAGCTGAAAACAGTTCACGGAAAGTACCTGAGGAAGGGGCAGTGCCGCCAGCAGATCAATGAAAAAATCCGATTTTAGATACCGCCATGAAATCTCCTTTGGATCCATAACAAGTTCACCCCTTCCAAAAACTCTTGAACTAGGAGATACATAAGCTGTCCGGAACTTTATAACCACGTGCAACATATAAAAGATATCGGCAAAGGTTCGGAAAAAAGTTACAATGATCCCCAAATTCAAATCAGTTGTCATACATGAACCGTTACCATTCTTTTCTACTGATGGAAGATAAAAAAACAATGGATCAACAAATAAAGCTACTAAGCACCAAAAGAGAAAAACCCTGTTCCACTGTAAGATAACTTCACTTCCTGGATCAAGAATTCGCTCCCTCCAAGGTTCTATATTCTCGGGGAAAACCTTGAACCCTCCAAATTTCGAAATTTTTGAAGCGGTTCTGTTTCTTTCAACAATATTTCCTTCTGTTTTCAACAAAGGAGCCGATGATTTATACACTGGCAAAGACTTCTCTATGTGCGGAGTTTCACCTTTTCCATCATTGTAAAACCTGCAAATGACAAAGTTCCCTATATAGATTTTCTCTCTTCATCCATCACTCTCCACACCACAGTAACACCTTTCTTTTTATATTTATATCTTCTATTTTCATTGAATAGTTGTCATTGTAGTTTCCGTAGGCATTGAATTATTGTTGTTTGTCATAGTTAGAATTTTGTATTCTATTTTTTTTTTTTTTTCTTTACAGTTGGCTTAATTCTTGCTGGGTGTGATTTGGCATTTCAGATTCAAGCCATATTGTTTTTATTAAAGTTGAACATATGAGTGAGGTCTAAGGGATGAGCTTGCTTGATGCTCTCTATTGTTTAGATTCCCATTTTAATGGTGAGTGAGACATGTAAAACATAATATGATCTGTACATTTGCATTTATTTCTTCTATCTAATGTAACAATTAATCTCTCTCTTTCCACCCCTTTGCCTTAAGATTTTCTCTCTGTGTCTTATGTTATTTGCTTGCACTTCACTTGTGTATTCAAGCTCCAAATCTACACGTGTAGTCAAATAATGTAAAGTGTCGGCAGGCAACCCATTCAAAGAAGCTGGTTTTTAAGAAGTGCTAGTGGGGCATTGAAGGATTTAGTTTCATATACAAATCAATCTTCAAAAAGCAGTGTTTAACATAGCTGGGGCCAAGAGATCTTTCGTGGGCATATTCAGATTCTAGTTTTTGTGTATGGCTGTTAATGGTGGACTCTGTAATTAGGACAAACTGCGCACCTTGCATTGGTCTCCTCGCTGCCTTCTAGGTCCACTTCGTTAAAATTTTGTCATCAAAAGACTGTATACTGTAACAAAGAAGGCCAAATAATTTATTAAAAAAATGTTGATTTGACAATCCTTCATGTTTGTTACATATTCATTTCTTGGCACCTCGTATTCATTTCTGCATATTGCCGTAGCTATCAAGGAGACCGTTACTTTGTCTTGGTTGGCAATGGGTTTGGCTTCACTAAATTTGGGTAGGACCAAAATTGTTCACTTGTTAGGGTTATTAATTAATTTGAAAATACCAGAAAACTGCTGAAAGAGTCAACATTTATTACTGAATAAAACCCAGTTATAAAATCTTATAACTATATGGTCCAGTTCCCGTAAATCAAGTTCGAGTATTGTCATTTCAATGGTAGTTTCCATAATTTTTCACTTGTCTGATATTTTGATTCTCATGTTTTCAGCCACTAGACACTGAACTCTGCAGTACAGTGAGCATGTAAGAAAACAACTGTTTTAACTTTTGATTTCAGAATTCTATGACAGAATTTGAGTGCAATGATATAAGACACAAATCGTAGGGCAAAGTAGTGATGGAACTGTAGAAAAATTATGCAAAAGGTATCAATCTATACTGGGATTCTAGTTTGATATGGGTAAATTGGATTAATTTGATCCGCTCCTAATGCCTTTGGGTTGCTGAAACTATAATAAGATCTCCTATTAACAGGACATGTTTACTAATGTTGGCATAGGCTTAAATACATTATACAAATTATTACAGCTTAAGCCATGACTACTTGAAAAAAAAGAAAAAAAAGAGTTTCAAAACCTGGTAGAGCTACTTTAATGGAGTTAGATAGACAATCTTCATCTGGCTCTGTTGAGAAGTCTGGCTCCTCAGGTTTTTGCAACTTTGGCAATTCAACTCCTTAATTTTCTGAGCTCCTTCCTCGTATTTTTAGCAAACTTTGAAGCCAGTATGTAACACCTAGGTGTTGCTTAGCAGAGCAGAAGATGATGATTCAGTACACTATGATCTTCATCGTCTTGTCTCTTTCATTAGCACTTGCTCATAATTATTATATGAGAATGATTCCATTGTGCCAAGACTTTTAGCCTACTCCTCTTCTTGAAACGACGCCAAGCACCTGAATGAAGCATGCAGCCCACGTCCTCCAGTGGTAGGAATAGAAACGAAGTGTGTTGTATTCTTACATGGAGGCGTCTGAACTGATGGCCACAAATTTTAAATCTTCAGCTCTTAATGCAAAGGCTTCAACCTCGACGAGGGACTTCACAGTTCTCGTAGAAGAAGGCAAGTTGACAGTAGATTTTGGCGCAATGCCCAAGCAAGCAACTCCTCACCACAAAAGTCGCCTGGTCTTAGAGTAATTGAATTGAAGAAACCTGTTCGGCCCCATTTGTAGTTGAGTCAAGAAGATTAAGCCCAGGTTCGAAGGGGATCCATTCAAGTCTGATGATGTTGAGGGCTCGGGTTATGAGTATCCCATGGTACTTGTTCAAATCCCCATGTGCAACGAGAGGGAGGTAATTCACTGAACTTCATCTCTTTTATGTCCCTTTTTTTTTTTTTTCCTTTCTTTATTTTATTTGGTGTCTGTATATTAATGTTGTATTTGTCTTCTTACAGATAACAAAATTCCTGAGCTTTTAGGAAAGAACTTTTAAGAACTTTTTGCAGTGTTTAGGAATAATTTGCAGGGTTTTTGAATCTTCAAATAGAGGATAATAAAATGGAATAGATACTTCTCAATATACAAGTATGAGTTACATCAGCACTTGAAGAATTTGAATAATTATGTCACAGTGCTCAGATCTGTTATTTTAGCTCAATGATGAACTGGAAGTCTCCATCAAGGGTAAAATCTTGTGGGGACATCCAAAATTAACACAATTGATTACTTTAGGTGGTCATTTTATTTTCTTTCGATTATCATGGTGTTGATGGTTTTCTCTACTGTTCTTGTGTAGGTGTATGAGCAGTCTATCTCTGCAGTCTGCCAACTTGATTGGCCAAAGGACCGTATACTGATTCAAGTTCTTGATGATTCTGATGACGAGAGCATCCAATGGTTAATTAAGGCAGAGGTTGCAAAGTGGAGCCAGAAGGGTATCAACATAATTTATCGGCATCGCTTGGTTAGAACTGGTTACAAAGCTGGGAATCTTAAGTCTGCAATGAGCTGTGATTATGTGAAGGATTATGAGTATGTTGCAATCTTTGATGCCGATTTCCAACCTAACCCAGATTTTCTTAAAAGTACAGTGCCGCATTTCAAGGTAGAGAAAAGCAGACATAGATCATTTTGACAGAAGTTTGGAGAGAAACATACAGTGGGGAAAATTAACTTGAGCCTATTGTTTACTTTGTTTTGCAGGACAATCCCGAATTAGGATTGGTTCAGGCTAGATGGTCCTTTGTGAACAAGGATGAGAACTTGCTGACTCGTCTCCAAAACATCAACTTGTGTTTTCATTTTGAGGTGGAACAACAGGTTAATGGCGTATTTCTGAACTTTTTTGGTTTCAATGGAACTGCTGGTGTCTGGAGAATTAAGGCCCTTGAGGAATCCGGTGGTTGGCTTGAAAGAACAACTGTAGAGGATATGGACATTGCTGTCCGTGCACATCTAAATGGCTGGAAATTCATCTATCTTAATGATGTGAAGGTACTCCTATATTAGTCTAGTCTGACCTTGCTTTTTGTATTTCAGTATTTGTGATATTTAGTTTTATTGTGGAGGTACTGTCAGTTTTAGATTTAGCTCATAGATTGTTGATGATTTAAGTAAATTGAATACATGATTTTATGCAAATTTGGTAATGACCTACAATGCCAACTATATCACATCAAATTTCAGGTCCTTTGTGAAGTCCCTGAGTCCTATGAAGCTTACAGAAAGCAGCAACATCGTTGGCATTCTGGACCTATGCAACTTTTCCGCTTGTGTCTTCCTGCAATTATAACTTCCAAGGTACAGTTTTGTGCTCGATTTCCATTTTTGGCTAACATAATTTACTTAATAATTAATATTTCTAATGAATGTTGTACCTCTGCAGATAGCAATATGGAAGAAAGCAAACTTAATACTGCTGTTCTTTCTATTGAGGAAACTTATCCTTCCATTCTATTCCTTCACATTGTTCTGCATAATTCTTCCTCTAACCATGTTTGTCCCGGAGGCTGAGCTTCCTGTGTGGGTCATTTGTTATGTTCCAGTTTTTATGTCATTCCTCAACATTCTTCCTGCCCCAAAATCTTTCCCTTTCATTGTTCCTTACCTCCTATTTGAAAACACCATGTCTGTGACCAAATTCAATGCAATGGTGTCTGGATTATTCCAGTTGGGTAGTTCATATGAGTGGGTTGTCACCAAGAAGGCTGGCAGGTCATCAGAATCTGACTTACTAGCCGCTGCCGAGAGAGAATCAAAGACAATGAACCAGACACAGATGTACAGAGGAGCTTCTGAGAGTGAGCTTTCTGAGTTGAACCAATTGAAGGAGCAAAAGGAATCAGCTGCCGCACCTAAAAAGAAGGTCAACAAGATATACAGGAAAGAGCTTACTCTAGCATTCCTCCTACTCACGGCTTCTGTCAGGAGCCTGCTCGCGGCCCAAGGAGTGCACTTCTACTTCTTGCTCTTCCAAGGGGTGACCTTCCTCCTTGTGGGGCTTGATCTGATTGGTGAGCAGATGAGCTGATGGTGCACAGAAGGAAGTCAGAGAAATGAAAAAGTCAACTTCTGCTCCGATTCAACCAAAGTACATCCAGTATTAAAAATTCATTGTGGCGGTGCAATTAAAGAAGAGCAACCCTTTTCTCCTTGGCAAATGGTGGAAGGGCTTCTAATTCAATGCAAATGATATTTCACTTTTGACATTTGAATTGAAGTTCCCTATATAAGATTTTCTCTCTTCATCCATCACTCTCCACACCACGGTAACACCTTTCTTTTTATATTTATATCTTCATATTTTCCATTGAATAGTTGTCATTGTAGTCTTCCGTAGGCATTGAATTATTGTTGTTTGTCATAGTTAGAATTTTGTATTCTATTTTTTTTTTTTTTTTTTCTTTACAGTTGGCTTTAATTCTTGCTGGGTGTGATTTGGCATTTCAGATTCAAGCCATATTGTATTTTATTAAAGTTGAAACATATGAGTGAGGTCTAAGGGATGAGCTTGCTTGATGCTCTCTATTGTTTAGATTCCCATTTTAATGGTGAGTGAGACATGTAAAACATAATATGATCTGTACATTTGCATTTATTTTCTTCTATCTAATGTAACAATTAATCTCTCTTCTTTCCACCCCCTTTGCCTTGACATTTTCTCTCTGTGTCTTATGTATATTTGCTTGCACTTCACTTGTGTATTCAAGCTCCAAATCTACACGTGTGTAGTCAAATAATGTAAAGTGTCGGCAGGCAACCCATTCAAAAGAAGCTGGTTTTTAAGAAGTGCTAGTGGGGCATTGAAGGATTTAGTTTCATATACAAATCAATCTTCAAAAAGCAGTGTTTAACATAGCTGGGGCCAAGAGATCTTTCGTGGGCATATTCAGATTCTAGTTTTTGTGTATGGCCTGTTAATGGTGGACTCTGTAATTAGGACAAACTGGCACCTTGCATTGGTCTTCCGTCGCTGCCTTCTAGGTCCACTTCGTTAAAATTTTGTCATCAAAAGACTGTATACTGTAACAAAGAAGGCCAAATAATTTATTAAAAAAATGTTGATTTGACAATCCTTCATGTTTGTTACATATTCATTTCTTGGCACCTCGTATTCATTTCTGCATATTGCCTGTAGCTATCAAGGAGCACGTTACTTTGTCTATGGTTGGCGCAAGTGGGTTTGGCTTCACTAAAATTTTGGGTAGGACCAAAATTGTTCATCTTGTTAGCTGGTTTATTAATTAATTTGAAAATACCAGAAAACTGCTGAATAGAGTCAACATTTCATTACTGAATAAAACCCCAGTTATAAAATCTGTTTATAACTATATGGTCCAGTTCCCGTAAATCAAGTTCTGAGTATTTGTCATTTCAATGGTAGTTTCCATTAATTTTTCACTTGTCTGATATTTTGATTCTCATGTTTTCAGCCACTAGACACTGAACTCTGCAGTACAGTGAGCATGTAAGAAAACAACTGTTTTAACTTTTGATTTCAGAATTCTATGACAGAATTTGTGCAATGATATAAGACACAAATCGTAGGGCAAAGTAGTGATGGAACTGTAGAACAAATTACTGCAAAAGGTATCAAATCTATACTGGGATTCTAGTTTGATATGGGTAAATTGGATTAATTTGATCCGCTCCCTAATGCCTTTGGGTTGCTGAAACTATAATAAGATCTCCTATTAACAGGACATGTTTACTAATGTTGGCATAGGCTTAAATACATTATACAAATTATTAACAGCTTAAGCCATGACTACTTGGAAAAAAAGAAAAAATAGAGTTTCAGAAACCTAGCAAGTGCTACTTTAATGGAGTTAGATAGACAAGTCTTCATCTGGCTCTGTTGAGAAGTCTGGCTCCTCAGGTTTTTGCAACTTTGGCAATTCAACGTCCTTAATTTTCTGAGCTCCTCTCCTCGTATTTTTAGCAAACTTTGAAGCCAGTATTGTAACACCTAGGTGTTGCTTAGCATGAGCAGAAGATGATGATTCAGTACTACTATGATCTTCATCGTCTTGCTCTCTTTCATTAGACACTTGCTCATAATTATTATATGAGAATGATTCCATTGTGCCAAGACTTTTAGCCATTCTCCTCTTCTTGAAACGACGCCAAGCCACCTGAATGAAGCATGCAGCCCACGTCCTCCAGTGGTAGGAATAGAAACGAAATGTGTGTTGTAGCTTCTTACTATGGAGGCGTCTGAACTGATTGGCCACAAATTTTAAATCTTCAGCTCTTAATGCAAAGGCTTCAACCTCGACGAGGGACTTCACAGTTCTCGTAGAAGAAGGCAAGTTGACAGTAGATTTTGGCAGCAATGCCCAAGCAAGCAACTCCTCACCACAAAAGTCGCCTGGTCTTAGAGTAATTGAATTGAAGAAACCTGTTCGGCCCCCATTTGTAGTTGAGCTTTCCAGCCGCCCTCTGATAATAAAAAGCATCTCTGTAACAGGATCACCTTCACGAACTATGTAGGTACCCTGAGTACTTAAGGAGGATACCAAGCGCTCACATATGGCGTCTAGTAGCTGATCATCCATTTGTGAGAAAAATGGAACCTGCAATTTGGTTAAAATCAATGGCTAATTAAGTACCGAAGTAAGATACAGGAGTCCTTCACAGGTTAATTGACATGAAAAAATATTATACTATTTCCTTCAGATGTTGTTTTGCCAAGCCTGAGACTATAATATCAGGAAATAGAACACATCTTGGACATAAGAAATCAGGCCTGTACCATTGAGAAAGATTACTTGAAAAAGAAGTTACCCTTCGAACAAGGTCCAAGCAAAGGTGGCGTTGGATATCTCGGCGAAGATCTGTAGGTAGCGCATGTAAGATTGATTCTTCATCAACTCCTCGAGTTGCAAGCCACTTATACTGAACAAATCGCCTTACACGTTCTCTAAGATCTTGAGGGAGCTGGCGATGTCTCATCCACTCCTCAGTGTCTCGCCGCTTAAGTCTCCACTCCTCAAGTCTCACAGTGATGGATTGCAAATAGGTCTATACAAAATAGAGAATGGTTAAAGGGTGAAGTGTAGGAAATTTAGGGAACTGAACAAGAAAATGAATGACAGACAAATATGGCAAGAATGTACAAAGGGTTTTCCAATACCTGCATGTTTCCAATTAAATGGGCAAACAAAACCAGACCCAAAATAGCAATGAGTATAGCAAACATGGTTTCCCCAATGAATGTGCTTGTGGTCAAAGTCTGGCCATAAGAACTGCAATTTATAAAGTAGAACAAATAGATCAAAATTTTGTGCAAAGAAACACATTTAATTCACACTACAAGCACAGTTGATATGGAGAAGACAATCAAATATCTTTGTTACCATACAGAAAACTTAGATTATGCAGCATAAGTGAAGCATACCTCAAATTCTGTAAGCCCCACCAGAGACAATAGAAATACTTCTCAAGGAACTCTAAGGATACAACATTATTTGTCAATGCATTTCCAAATATGCCATATTGGAAAACTTTTGAGTTTGTAGGATCGCAGTTATTAAACACAACAGTACTATTCTCCCATAACTGCCGATCATCATTACTCAGTGTGCCACAGTCCAAGTAATAGAGAAAGCATTTTGCAGGACTAAATTCCTTTCTGCATTCAGATTTCCAGCATGTTGCATACCGTTCAATTGACAACAAATACCACGATGCTCCTAAGACCTGCAAAGCAGAAGCCAAATTATTGCAATTTACTCAAGTCTAATAATAAATAAACAGAATTAAAGAGAGAGGAGAAATTACATACATGACTGGCCAACATGTACAGCACAAGATTATATGCAGCACCAGCCCAAGCAGTCTTTGTGACAACTCCAGTGGCTTTGATAATCTGGGCACTTAATGGGAAAATCAGATATAAGCGTGGAACATATTGGAGCAGAACAATCAACACAAGCGCATTGTTTGTATGATCAGCAGAGGAGCTTCTGACTGCTGGTATAATAAACCATATCACTATCTGGCAAATAAAGAGAGACAAAAAGAACTATCAGATCTTATTTTTTACTTTATCTTGTGGCAGTGACAAACTTCCAAAAATATAAGGGAGCAAATCATGTGCAAAAAGAGAATAAAAAGATGTTTAAATATTATGATAGATGTTATGATTATCAATGTGCCAAATCTAGTCATTATCAGAGGCAGAAGCATTCTATTTTCCTCATCAGTTTCTGCATCTTGTACCTAACTTCAAAATTGCATATCAAACATATGCTGAGGAATAGGCCTTTATTGCTAATCAATATACAAACTAAATTATGGTCTAATTATATCAAACATTCAAGATTCTACACAGTAAACAAATAGCTGAAAGCAGTTCACGGAAAGTACCTGAGGAAGGGGCAGTGCCGCCAGCAGATCTATGAAAAAATCCGATTTTAGATACCGCCATGAAATCTCCTTTGGATCCATAACAAGTTCACCCCTTCCAAAAATTCTTGAACTAGGAGATACATAAGCTGTCCGGAACTTTATAACCACGTGCAACATATAAAAGATATCGGCAAAGGTTCGGAAAAAAGTTACAATGATCCCCAAATTCAAATCAGTTGTCATACATGAACCGTTACCATTCTTTTCTACTGATGGAAGATAAAAAAACAATGGATCAACAAATAAAGCTACTAAGCACCAAAAGAGAAAAACCCTGTTCCACTGTAAGATAACTTCACTTCCTGGATCAAGAATTCGCTTCCTCCAAGGCTCTATATTCTCAGGGAAAACTTTGAGCCCTCCAAATTTCGAAATTTTTGAAGCGGTTCTGTTTCTTTCAAAAATATTTCCTTCTGTTTTCAACAAAGGAGCCGATGATTTATACACTGGCAAAGACTTCTCTATGTGCGGAGTTTCACCTTTTCCATCATTGTAAAACCTGCAAATGACCAAAAAAAAAAAAAAATATCAATGACTGAAGTCTCAAAAAAAATAAAAAAAATAAAAAAAAAGGAAAAAAGAACAAAATACCTCACTAGCTTATCTTTCTTGAAGTCCATATTTGTAAACTGTTCACATGAAGAACTTAAAACAATCTTTTTCAGACAAAATCTCTGTGAATGTTCTGTTTTTTGACATAGTGCTCTTTACTTGAACATCTTTTCTTCAAAAAAATGGATCTCAACATAATAGTTGGAGCTTAAGCGACATGTTTCTTCATAGAATTTGTTGGGACACTTTACAGTTGAGAGAGGAAGAAGAAAGAAAACAGGTGGTAACCCGTTTGACTTCAACTAAAAACCCACCAAAAAATAAACTAACAGTAAAAGAGAAGAAACACAGCTCAGCTCACGTAGTGAGTTATTACTATTATTATTATTATTTTCCAAGCTTGTAATAACTTACAAGATAGAATTAAGTTTGAGAAACAGAGATAAGAGAAAGGACGTGAAGACCATGACGAAGAAATCAAAATATTAAAATGTGCATTGAAGTAAACAAGTTAAAAAAGGAAGATTTTGATTAGCAGATTTCCCGGAAACTTTGATTGAGTCTTCCGTTTTTGTCATATTGATAACTGGCAGACAACATTACAAACACTGCACTTTTTAGGAGCCACGACCATCCTCTGTCATGGGAACAGTATCCAATCAGTGGGTCCGATTTCTAACAACCGTAATCTACCACGTCATCAAATATAATGTCCCACAGTATAGGATTAGATTACAATAAAATTAATTAATTTCTTTAAAAGGGCAACGAGGAATTTCATGGTTTTGATTTATAAAAGTAAAGAGCTTTGTCTTTCTTTATGTAGAGAACCAATTTTTTGACCGAATGTTTGAGAAAATAGTCATTGTTAAGCTTTGGAATTGAAGATCTATTTTAATGCAATCTTAAGCATAAGTGATTTTCTTATGGAAAGCATTGTATATTATGTTAAATTCATATACATTTCTTTTGAGGCTTCGTTAAAAGTGGTTTTCATCCAAACTCATTTGGCCATCGATGTGGTGAAACATAACGTATGAAGAACATGATTAACTAAACAAATTCTGACAGGTTAAGAGGCATGAAACAAACAATGAAAACACGTGGTACCAAAGACATTATAAACAAGTGGCATGGGTTGTGAGTGGAACATGAAACAAAGGCGAATGCACGTGGGGAAGTTGAAATCTCCACCGATTTAACAGCAATTTGTGGAATAGATAATGGTGGTGCGGTGCCTTCAAAGCGACTCCCAGTTTGTAGAGTCAACTTGGGCGTAAGAAAATGCATTAAGAGGTTGTTGGCAATTGACATGAAAAGTGGGGGATAACATGACACACAATTCAACTAATAATTTAAATCCAAGGCTACAAGTGTAATTGAGATTAGCAACAATAAAGCTTTTAGTCTTTATTGACTAGAGCCACCATACTTAACGGAGTTGAATAGGAAGACACCCATTATTTATAAAACTGGCTTTTTAGCCAGATCAACTGAATGTAATGTAAACCTTGGAAATTTCTTGCACGGAGTTCAATCTTTAGCAAAAGACAAACTTACTGTCACATCATATCTATTGATTTTTTAACGCTGTTTACACTCACAGAAACAAAAACCGCCTCAGATAGTCATATGAAATGATTGTATCCCACTTCAAGCTTAAAATATCTTATTCCACCCAATCTGTAGACTTTAATGCATCTTTACTGTTTTCATAACAAAAGAATATAAGCACATTGATTGAGCAGCCATTTTCACGGCAAATAGAGATTAAGTACATTTGAGCGATAAAGCGAGAGCCAATTCCAAGGTCTAAAACCTTCACAAATCAACCGGGAAACGGGTTGGATGGATTGTAACTTCCAAGTAAAATATTGGTGATTTTTCAATGTAATAATATTCAGTTCGTGCGCACGTTTTATTATCAAAGGCTATATAGCTTTTGGCAAGGCATACATAAACGTACTGCAATAATAATGAATTGATGTACCCTGCTTACGGAAATTGGAAACTCAAATTTTCTATTGACGTGTTTAACATGAAAATCCTTGAGAATCATTCAACTCAGCAAGCAATAAATTAACGTCAGGCTCATGAAATTAAAGCATTTCAACGTATTTCATTACAAATAAAGTAAGACAATTACCAATCCATATTGCATGCAACCGACAGTGACATTAATTAATCAAAATCAATGACAATGAAGGACTAGGACTTCATACGACTCCTAGACCTCTGCAAGTCTTGGTCTTTTGATTCCAGGACTAAAATCCTGAAGGCTAGAATCTAGTGATGTTAACAAAACCGAGATACCGCTGCTTAAACTACTCACCAAAATATGAAGCAAAAAAATAGTCGACATCACTGGCGATTGAAATTTTACGGCAGATCTAGGAAAACAAGCATGCCATTACCACAAACACAATACAGATGTGCTGATTGGAGTAGGGTCGATCCTCCAGCAGAAGATAGATACCAAAAACAAAACCAGGAAGCCACTTCATCAAGGAATTTGTGCATATTAAAAGTCGTACGAAATCCTAGATCAAAAATATTATCTGGGGCAGAATATCTCAAATCAGCTTAGGAAGGTCTTCAGCCAAAGGCCAATTGATACTGGACCTCTCAAATGGCAAGAGCTCCTCTAGCAGCTAAAGCAACATTAATTAGCCAAGGTCACCAACAGAAATGATTACTCCATGACCCAAAATTGTATACGAGAAGACACTTTGGGCGAAAATAAAGATTTTTCCCAAGCTCATACCACAGAACTCCATGTCTAACAAAATGTGGTAACCAATTTGTTTCGGTGCATGCTGAAAAATAGAGATTAGGATCTAATAACCAAAACCAATCAGATCCAATCATAAGATAATTCCTCCTTGTCATCTGGATGACAAAACAGAATATTGGAAAAACAAGCAGGTAAAATTCCTTCCATTTTGAAGTCAGAAGAAGCCTCTTCTTTAACATAAAAGAATCAGAAAATAGTGCATGTTCCCAAGTGTATAGACATCTTTATTTCTATTAAATTCACACTAAATTTTAATTTTAAAATTCCAAACCCCATTTGTTTAAGAGAACCCAAGAAACCCAAATCTGTAGAACAGATTAAGTACCTTTCAGAAGTATTTGAAGCAGCTCCTCTATCCAATTAAGTTAACTAAAAGAAATGCCACTAGAATTTGAGGAGAGGCGCTTCACAGCAGGAGATTCATTCAAACAGAAGCATCTAAAGATGAAGCCGGTTGGGACCCACAATCATTGAAAATTGAAGATCCCATAGCAGGGCAGCACACAAGAAGCCCCAAGGAAGTGTAGAACCACAAAACCAATGATGCAGACCCAGAAGACACCTTGTCCTCGACACAAAAAAGAAAAGCATGTACTTTTAGCACAGTTCTTAAAAACTATCTCAATAAAATTATAATAATAAATTCTATATTGTTTTGACAAAGAAGATAATGCAACTACTCATAGCTAAAAGAAAAATAGCCAACATATAAATGAAGTAAGAAGAAAACTTATCCAAATCCAAGAGAGCCTGAGGGCGTCACCCAAATAAAAACATAGTTGTACTGAAGTCCAAATATACTAAACACACTTAATCCAGTCTCCTCTCAAAAAAGGCAAGTTACCAAGTTTACAATGCTTAGCTTCTGCTGCGGCGACGATCCCTTACACCATTTCTGCAGAAAATTTGACAGCACTGATCAGTAATATGGTAAATGAAATGCCAGACACTCATCGATACTAATGCTTGCATGAGTGCAACAGTTGAGGTATTGTTATGCCTCAAAAAGAAGCTTCTCATGGCATTTACAAAAAAATGTAGGTAAAAAGTAAAATGACTCAAGGAGAACTTTACCCATTGGCAAAAGGCAACTCGTCACGTCCACGGTACGGTGGGGGTGACCTGCTATAACTGCGTCCACGAGGTGACACACTGCGGCGTCTTGGGGATCGCCCACGAGGACTGTAACTCCTGCTTCACAACATCGGGGAATGTCAAACAAACATTTTAAAAATCCCAACCAGTTTATGGAACCAAATTACAATACCTATCTTTTTCTCTCATAAGAATCATTAAAAAATTACATCACACATATGGGAGATAGCAATCAAAATCCAGAATATAAATAATCTATGATAAACTAAAAATGCAACCTAGAAAATCACCATCAGAATCAGTGAAATTACCTTCTTCCATAACTTGGACTCCTGCGGTATCTAGGGCTGCGGCTACGACGTCTTCCTGAACCACCACGTAGTCGACATTCACGGGCAAAATGACCAGGCTCGCCACACTCATAGCACTTCAAATCAGAACCACCAGAGCGACCACGACCCCCACCGCGGCCACCACCTCCACCTCTAGAATTGTGAGAAAGCTCAACCCTCCATCCATTCTTGCCTGTTTCAAACATACGAAGTAACAAGTTAGGAGATATAACGCCTGAAATGTTAAAATAAGATACAAAATAAAAATCTTTATGAAATATAATAGGATATAGCTGTTAGATATCAGATGAACAAGAAGAGAAGGCAACACCAAATACAGCATGCTGAACCTTCTTTCCTGCACCAGGCTTATGCCATTATTCAAGCACCCAAGCAGGAAAAAATTAAATTATATCATTGAGAAAAGCAAATCAGAAGCATAATTTACATGGCCTGAGATATGAAGGATCCTCTTAACATACCATCTAATTCACGAATTGCATCCTGTGCATCCCTGTAATCATCAAAGTCAATAAAAGCATAACCTGGAGGCCTTCGAGCAACCCAAACACTGCACATAAGACATTAACAGTATTAAAAGCTGATTTCAGAAAATGAGAGAGAAAAAATCAAATTTTTATCTCTATGTCTTAATAAGCAATGGATAACTCCTATGTCCACCCTTCAAAACCTGTTGAACTTGATAATAGTTAAGACCATTGGTGCAATTTCATCGAAGAAAGGCAGGGGAACTTCAAGCAACTTCGTACAGTACAAAGTTGCAAAAAGTGTTCGGTCTAGAGACTGTACATGTACATAAACAAAGAGAGGAAGTAGACAAGATTCTGCACCACCAATTCTGCACCACTAATTCCTCTTGACTGACAAACATAGAATCAATCCCCACTAGAACCATGGAACTTTATTGTTCACCAACCAATCACACCCATATCAATGTCCATCTCATTCACATTGGAATAAAAAATTGATCTTATCTATCAATGCAAAAGGGACGTTCACAAAATCCCAAGATCCTTTCTTGAGTACGTACACAGTCAAACTCAATAAACACTCATAAAAGATGACAACTTGATAAAACACACCCAACAACATCAATTAACACAACAAATAACGGAAGTAGCAAAAACTGTTCACTGTTAACCATAGGTACTCAAACAACCAATAGAAAAAGACAAATTCAAAAATTAATTCTACCTTCGAATAACTCCAAAGACACGAAATTCGTCTTCAAGATCCCGCTCAGAGACTCGTGAATCCAAGTTACCAACATAAACGCGAGACATTTTTTCAGAGAAACCTGTCAGATGCGCTCAATATTAATAACCAAAGAGTTCAATTCCATAAAAAATCAAAACATTAAACAAGCATCCACAACAATACTTACAAAACTGAAATCTTATATGCTAAAATTTGAAAACATAACGCAATTAACTAATCGTATCGTAAAAATTCTCAAGTGAAGCGTAACCAGCTGTTAAATAAAAAATATTGTTCAGCTTCATCAATTGAACACGAACGACAGAAGCACGAACAAAAATAGAAAGAGAGATCTGAAACCTTAGGCGATCTGCAGAGAAGATATTGAACCCTAATGGCAATCGCACGGTTTCTGCTTTGTTTCTTTGTATGAATGTTAGGGTATTAGGGCTTTGGAATTTATATAGGGCAATATTACAGGTCAGGTCCCTTCAAAGTTGTTTAATTGTATAATTTCCCATATTTCTTTGGTTTTATTACAATTTTTCATACTCAAAACAATTTTTTTATTTTTGTAAGCGGCCTAACTAAATTATAATAAATTATACACTAACTAAATTATACTTCAATGGTTCATTTCGCAAAAAGACGATTATAAAGTTCATTAAAGGAGCCAGACTTAGATTTAAGAACTATCAATAAAGCTCCATGAATTGGCTCATTGGTTGGATATTTGTTATCATTCCCCCACAAAGTATTAATATTAAACCAATTAGTGTTGGTGGTTTATACTTTGCACAGGATTAACGCTCACACGTTCAGGACTATATGGAGAGAGAGGAGAGGAAGAGTGAACTGCCGTCATTTCTATTGTATTGTTGCAACACTCGTGAAATTCAATAAAAACTTCTCTATCTTGAATACCAGACATAGTTCCTATATTGGGAACGAATCAAAGTAAATTAATTGTCTTCTTTATTTTTTTGTTTCATTATTTTGTATGTTTTGGCGATTAGATTTCAACAATTAGAATGTCTTTATCATCACAGTAATTCTTTCTTTCTCAATAATACTAGGCTTATACCACCATCTTACATCACTCTCTCACATCATCAAAAAGCCACGCAATTTCCCCCCAAATTATTTTTTAAAAAAAAAAAAATTTAAAAAACCCAAAATTTCATTTGCCCCTAAATCTAATCTCTCTCCCAAAACAAAATCATCTGAATCAAACTCTCTTCTTCCCCTAAATTAGAAATCTCTCTCAAAGTTGCCCTACAATCAATCTTCCACCACTATCATGTGCAACTCCTCTTCCCAAAAAAATTTTCTCCCCCAAAATCCAATTGAAACCCTAGAATGGAACTTGAACTCAGCACCGCAGTTTTGACGAGCTCATCAGCATAGGAACCAGCACGAATGGTAAGAGCAGAAGGGGTGTTGGGGTGGCATCTAACAACAGAGACAAAGGGCTGACGGATTATGGTCTGGCCCTTAACCCACTCAGACTTGTCAAGAATGGGAGATGACTTGAGGAGAGAAGTTGATGCTGAGGCCATTGTTGTTGTTGTTGTTGTTTTGGTTTTGAGAGCCTCTACCTAGCCCTTCACCCACTCGGACTTGTTGATGTTTCTGGAGGAAGGGTTATTGTTTCAGTTTTTTTTCTCTCCTGGTGCGTGGGTTGACTTTTTGGTTTGGGGTCCTGTGTTGTGGCTGCTGCAGACCCATCTCTTGGGGTTGTGTGTGGTTTGTGTGGCTAGTGAGAGGGACTGGCAGTTGGGGGGTGTTTTTGGTGCTAGGGTGGTTGGCTTGGAGGTTGGCTTTGTGGGAGGAGGTGAGGGTTGCATTGAGGCAGCTGGCACTGGGGTCTTTATGCGTTGCTATAGACTCATTTTCTCCCCTACTGTTGCAATTTTTTTTACCAATATGGGGCTGTTCTTGCTGCTTTTTTGTTGGTTGTCCATTCTTGCTGCTGTGTTATTGCTTGGATGTTATTGCTCTGGTTTGTAGTGTGGGGCTATGGCTGATTCACTTTTCTAGTTTATTTTTTGCTGCTGTTTTATGGGCAATTTCATGCTCCTGCTCCAACATATATAGACCAAATATTTATCAAAAGTCAATGGTATATTGGTCTTGTCCTGGTTATATTAATCATATATTAAGCAAACTCTAACCTTTTAGTACTGGCAAGATTCCTGACAAAGAGATACTGAAGATTGTGAAGGAGAATTTTGATTTCAGGCTTGGAATGATTTCGAGTAACCTTGACCTTAAGAGGGGTGGCAATGGCAGGATTTTGAAGACTGCAGCTTATGGACATTTTGGTAGAGATGATGCAGACTTCACTTGGGAAGTTGTGAAGCCTCTCAAGTGGGACAAAGTCCAAGCTTAATCAACTGGGATTCAGTTTTCTCTGTTTTGGGTATACTATACTTTACCCACTAAGGAAAATTGCCTCTTAGCTGTTTTGTTTTTTCATATGTTTTTGTTATGTTTTATATGTCCTATCTGTTTGAATGATGCCTATATTTTAGGCATAAGGAGAAGTGAATACAGATTGTATTGAATGCCATTTTGTTATTGCTCAAATGATATATTGATATATTAAATGAGAATCGGCTGACAGTTGGGTTGGAAAAATGTGAAATTTAGTTCTTTCTCTTGATAAAATGTGTCCTTGTCCATGATAGAATCTTATTTTGTGTAAGATTTTATTCTGTCTAATATTGAGCTATATTACAAAGTGTTATGGTCAGTGACTTATTTTGTTCAATACACTCTGATTAGAAAGAGGTGATTCATTTGAGCATCCAAAAAACTCAAACTCAAACTCAAGAACAAGCTTGCAAGAGCCAGAAACCAAAAAATAGTATTGGACACCATTTCTAAGCTCAAAACTAAAGCTCTTATTGACTAGTTTTTGCTATGTTTTGTGCTGAAAATATGAAAGTGCGGAGGCTAGTTTTATAGCCGATAAGAAGAAATTTATGCAGATTTTTTAACGTAAGTGATCATTCATAGGAGAGTTATAGATGATTCAAAACAAGTGTTACAAACTTTAAATGATGCATTCATAATCTCTTATTTCCACCCTAATAAGACTTCAATTACTTGCTAGATTTTTTTGTCATGAAACTTAAAATAAAAAGTACATCCAAGAGAAAATTCATCCAATAATGAAATAGAACCTCAATGTTGCATTATAAAAACTTGTACACAACATATATTACAACATATATTATAAAAATGTGTACACAACATACATTACAACAGTAAGAAAATAAAGTGATGAGTTGGTTGTTTTGATCAGCATCAATACTCTCCTCTGATCAGCAAGCAAAAACCCAATCCAACCACTAAAAACTTCAGCAGCAGCTCATGAAAAGTGAAGGGAAATAGGCCAAACCAAGCTGCTGCCAGCAACCATGGGACACATCACCCACTGCAGCAGAAAAAAAAAAAAAGCCAGCCTCCCAACAAGGATTACCCCAACTCATAGTGTTAAAATGACAATTTCATGATGAGGGTCCTTGAATATCTAAACCGTTAGCTTATCAACCACACCCCCCTGTAAAAACACAACATAAGAAGAGAAGCCTCTGATATTAATATTAAGTTGCACTAGGACACAACTCAAGAACCTTGTTTTATTTAGAATAATACCACACATAAATTTTTTTTATACAAACTATTGTATAAAAATTGATGTAACACAACTATAATGGAAGAGTGAAATACACAAGTTAACTCAATTAATAAGTAGCACTTTTGAATCTTTACTAAACTACTAGGCTTTATTAACTAGAAACTAATGAAACTAATTTTCTTTTTTAAGCCACTAATCCAAGACTTCAACGAAGCCAAATCTTCAAAAATACCAGACAAACAAAACAAGCAGTTGCAGCAAGCAAAAACCCAATCCAGCCGCTAAAAGCTTCAGCAGCAACTCACCTGCTTGTATCCCAGCTCATAGCAACCCTTAACCCCTCCACCTGCTTGTATCCCAGCTCATAGCAACCCTTAACCCCTCCACCTACTTGTACCCTTTCCAGCCCCAACCACACCAAAAAGAAAAGCTAAAAACAATATCACTTAAAGTAAAAGAACAATTAAAAAATCATGCTTAAAGTGACCACCCCCAACCACACCAACTGCATATTGCTAAACCATACTTCATATGCAAAGTGAAAGAACATAGAGAGTGTGATAGAAGTAAAATGAAGTACCACCAACTGTGTATTGCAAGACCATACTTCAATCAATAATTTGCATCTGCAGGTGATGGCCTGTAAGTGACGGATAGTTCACTGTAACCCTGGGCAGTGAAAAGACAACAACATTAATATTATAGCCTAAACCATAGTTCAACCTAAAGGATTCATACCTGACTTAATACAAGGACTCCTGCTTCACATGGGTGGACATTACTCGCATATACACCAGCTTTAGTTGATTCTTTTGATTCTTGGGAACTCCTAGCTTGCAATCAAATTAAATTTATAAGTACATAACATTTAGTAACATATTTTAAACGCTATAAAATTAGATGTGACACTCACTTGGTTAAGCAATTTCTTCCCTTTCAATTTATGTACAATCTTCTCGACCTTTGATTGCTTTCTTTTGAATGGAGGTCGACCTTTCATACGAACAGCTCGTGGAGTTAGAATGTTATTGCTGCCCTCTATGGAAGTAGAGTGAACACTATTGCAGTCCTAAAGACCTTTAGATGACATGTTTAGGCAGCTATCAGTCCCGCCAACACCAACATTCGATACTAATTTGTTCTTAATGTCACTAATCATTTGCATGACTATATTACAATCATCGTCATTGCTTGATGCCAAATCTGCCACCTCACAGAATGAATTAGACAACTTATCAAATCGTTGTCCTTCAAGAGTCGTGCTCAAACTATTATAACTTATCCTAACTTTGGTGTGACATCTGTATACATTTTTCCTCCACCGCCTTAAAATGTATTTTTCTAGTATAAGATAAATTTTTTTATGAATCAACACTGCAATTGCATGTCGACATATAATCCCTCTAAACTCAAACAATCGACAATTACAACGAACCTCAGAAACCTGTTCATCAAAGCAAACTACAAAAGGAACATGACGGTAGCTCTCTCCAACCAATACATCTTCCTCGACTACATATTCGATATTGGAATCAGTCTCCTTAAAAGAATGAATCTGACAATAAAGCTTAGCAACAAGCTCTTTTTAAAACTCTTTGAATTTTGCAGTAATGTATGCATCTTGAAATTGTTTCTCCATCGGATAAGTGGTTATACAAGGGATCCATGATTTGAATGACTTGAAATCAGCTTCATTTTCTTTTTCCACTTTATCACGCAATGCGTTCTTATATTGTTCCACAAATTGTTTTAATTTGGTTTTCGAATTTACATACCCAACGAAAAATGAATGCATACTTTCACTACATTGAATAGTAGACATACCTGCCCAGAAAGTAT